GGGGGGGGGGGGGACTTATACATGGACGATCTTTTGTGTTAGTGTAATAGTGATAAACAAGTATATTACCATAATAGTGACAAACAAGTGTTAAGCATAGTAATAATAGTGATTAATAGTGATAAACAAGTGGGCTTGTATTCAGGGAGGCTTATATTTGTAATGAGGTGAGCGTTAGTACATGTGGTGGGCGTATACACGGGGGGGGGGCTTATATTCGGGGGGGGGGCTTATATTCGGAGGTTTACGGTACCTTCTTCTATTTCCAAATTCTCCAATGGCTCAACAAATTTTGGTGCTTCAACAACAATCATCTCAGCTTCAACAGCAGTCGCTCCTATTTCGTTAGAAATACGACATCGATACCAAGCCTCGTCATCTGCCTCGACCTTCTTGATCACGAGAATTGTGACGTCATCGTTTACTGTGCACGTGACTCGATCACTTTCCTCCAGAGGTCCGCCATCTTTAAACCACTCTACTTCCGGTTGGGGTGAGCCTGCGAACTTGCAGGTCAGTTTTATCTCTGAACCCGCCACCACTTCACAATCTTGAAAGTCGCGCAAAAATTTCGGGCAGCCTGGTTCGGATGGTGCGTCTGATAAAAATAGTAATTGGGATTAAAGTTGAGTTAATAGACAATTCCGATTGCAGAGTAATTTTTTATCTTGGCAAAAAAAGTATATTCCCGGAAAGAACATACTAAAGTTAGTAAAATTTCGGCCCACATTTGGGCCGAAAATGGTAGCAATTTCCGCACGCAATACAAAAGTATACAAAATTTGAAAACTTTGTAAGGCCATATTTTCCACATTTTACAACATTTCGCAACCAAACTTTGCAATGTTACTAATTTTAGTATGCTCTTTCTAGCTGTAGTGATTTATTTGCATCTCCTTGCCTAGTTTTAAAATTAGTCTAAAGCTGAAATCATCCATTGAGAAGTTTTCAAATCATTATAATCAACGCTTTTTGCATAGAAAACATTAACCCAGACGTACCTTGAAGAATTAACTCCATTGTTTTCCCAACAGTTTCAGGCCCAGGCGATTTCTGACTTTCCTTGCTACCCTTTCTGCCTCGTCGTTTGCTGGGAGAGACCTTCAACACTGCGCTGCTACTCAATTCTCCTGCCTCATTATGTGCCACACATTTATACACGCCTGCATCCTCGACCCTCGCGTCCTCGACACCCAAAGTGAAGGTCTCTCCGTCTTGTTCGTCTACAATAACCACACGGCCTGCATCCAAAAGTATCTCATCATCTTTATACCAATCAACTTGCACGTTGCCTTTAACCCATACGGAGAAGCAGCAATCTTGAGCAGATTTTATATCAATGTCTTTCAAAGGTTCCAGTAGTTCTGGTTTTATGGCCGATTCTGTTACAAGAAGTTCAGCTTCGGTGGTTGCAATTCCAAGTGGATTACGTGCAAGAGCTTTGTAAACAGCCTCATCAATTGTGGTAACGTTTTTAACGGTTAAGGTCGACACGCCATCTTTTTGGTCAATTTCCACACGATCGTCTTGGTCAAGCAGTGTATCATCTTTGTACCATTCAATGTCAGGTCTTGGTTCCCCTGTGGCACGACACGTGAACGTGACGCCAGTGCCTTCTTTTACCTCAGCAGGTTGAAGAGTGTCGGTGAATGTCGGGGCTGAACCTTGCGGTTTGAATCCTTAAAATGAATGAAATGAAAGTTAAATGTGTTTCAAACAAACTAAACTACAACTAAACTAACTTTATTTATACTGGATGGCTCCACCAATGTTATAAATGTTCTTCCCAGAGGTCCAGTAAGGGTCATCCTTTATTGCTACAGTATTGTTACAGAAAAAACCGAAGTTCTGCTAACTTGATTTCTAGTGGAGAGCTTTATAAGTCGTTAACTGTTTTCCCTAGAGGTATACTAAGGATCATCTCTGTTATTGATCCAGTATTATAACAGGAAGAAACTGAACTATCTTAATTTACGATGGGTAGCTCTACCAGTTCTTAACAGTTCTCGCGGGAGGCCCAGTAAGGGACACGCCTTGTTGGTCTACTGTTACTACAGAAGAAAACCAATGCCCCAGAAAAAAACTGTGGTGTTTGGTGAGGTAAACTGAAAGCACTCTTCTTAAGGCAACCCCACTCACATAGCTGAAAGACGCATACATTACCCAGCAAACCACTAAACTTTTACCTTCAATGTTAACTTGGAATTTCCGGGTAACCTTGCCCAACTTTGATGTCACTTCACATTTATAGATCCCACGGTCATCCAAAGTCACTTCACGAATGCACAACGACCGTTCATGTTCTTGCTCGGATATTTCATAATGGACGTTATTAGGTAATGGCTTATCATCTTTATACCACTGCACATCTGGGAACGGGTTTCCTTTCAACGCCACAGAGAGTTTTAAATCTTCACCCTTTTTGACAATGTACGGCTCGTCCTGACCTTCGTTTGTGAACTCAGGTGAATAATTCTTGTCGGTGACGGACAACTTCGCTACAGTTTCGGTTTTGCCCGCTTCGTTCACGGCTATACATCGGTATTCGCCTTCATCTTCGGGTAAGATATCTTCAATGGCCAAAGTAAAGATCTGTTCGTCGTGTTGGTCTACAATTACGTAACGACCTTCATCGGCCAATACGGTGTCATCTTTGTACCAGCTCACTTCCGGTTCTCCTTCGATTTGCACTGTAAACTGGATGTCCTCTCCTGAAATGCATATGTAGAACTCGTCAGAAAGGATACTAACATTGTTTCTTTCTGCTGGTCATGGACAGCTCTATCAGTTTTAAATCGTTCTTGCTAATGGTTTGGTTAGAGTATTTTTTCTTGATATAATGCTATTGTATGAGGAAAACGAAGTACCCAAAGAAAATCTGGTTTGGGTTGATTGAAACTGTAAAACCGTTCTCATGTTTAACGGAGGCAAAAATATAATCAGACTTAGTAGATAACTTGACAATATTCCACATAACATACAGAGACAATTACATTTGACAAGAATTTGAAGAATACCAAATTTAGAAGGTGCCAAAAGTGGCGAATTACAAATGAGACTAGGTCCCATGCATGGTGCTCATCACTAGATGTTATAGTATGTAGAAGAATAAGAAAAATGGAAGGTGAATGGAAAACTAGAAGCATGGAAGAGAGGAGTGGTAGAATGAATGACCTGGAAGATATTAGTTAGTCGTGGTCAATGAGTGTGAGCTAGGTGAGTCAGGAGTGTAAGCAGTAGCAGTCAGGTGGAGGTAAGTCTTGTGTAGGTATGATTGGAGTGTCGCACTAGAAACACAGAGAAGTGGTGGAATGAGTGACAATGGAAGATGTTGTCGTGATGAATGAGTGTGAGCTAGGTAAGTCGGGAGTGTAGGCAGTAGCAGTCAGGTGGAGGAAAGTCCTGTGTAGGTATGATTTAAAGGTGGAGAAAGTGTCGTAGCAGTTGGAAGGAGCAGATTTACATACATAGTTCCACGGTTTTACAATTCTAACGAAGCACAACTTTGAAAAGACAACGGCATATTGCAAGAATGCAACCTGCGATTTAGAGGATAAAACACGCCTGTACTACTGTATCACTAACAACCAAACAATCATAACCTCACCGACTTACCCTCGCTGATAATGGTATCCTCAAGCGACTTGACAAACTTGGGAATCTCGACAACCAGCAATTCACAATCAGTAGACGCTGAGCCCAAATTATTGTACGCATTACAGCGATACCAAGCCTGGTCATCTGGCGTTGCATTGGTGATCGTCAGTGTGGCTACATCATCGATAATATCGAACACCAATCGATCATCATTATCATCAAGGGGACCGCCATCCTTGTACCACTGTAGGTCGACTTCTGGTATTCCAAAGAATTGACATTCTAGGGTAATGCTCTTGCCAAGAAGCACTTCAGTGTCTTCAAGACCTCGGATAAAACCTGGTGGACACTGGCTTATCAAAGGACCTAAATGAATACGAATTTTTATTTTCATAAACACATTACATACAATATATAAAAAAAATTACCGCAAACCCCATAAAATACATCTATTCAGCTAACTTATGCATCTTACTACCCAATTTATATTTTTGCTGATAACTTACATGCCTAGTTACCACTGTTCTGATAGAGTAAGCTAGAATGGAACAAATTATTTAAATTGTATGTGTTGAATATATACGCAACAATCATAATCACCTGAAGACATTCCATCTTCATCGTCTGATGGTACTAAAATAACATTAAGGACAAGTATTAGAAAATCGTTAAATTTGGGGGTTCGGAGTTTGCTGCAGTTTTGAACCCACATTCCTTGATTCTCCGTAAACCAACCAAAAAATCTACTTCAACCATGAGTACACAATCTCAGAAGCTTTCCAAAACCTGTTCACAGCAACACAACTGTATACTTCCACACTCAAAGCTCCCCACTTACGATTAATACCCACTCGCCTTAAGACCCCATAGAAATCTTCTCATAACTTGTACAGACACCACAGTTATACAATCCCTCGCTCACTGCCTCTCATCTTACCCCTTACCTCCCCCACATACCTTCAACCACTTATTCACCACACCTATACACACCCTCACTCACACTCACTCACACTCTCTCACCCTCATCCCTTTACCCACAAATACCTTGAATCATGACCTCACAATCAGACAAAAGCTTCTCCATCCCATAACCCCCACTCCACTTATCTGCCCCCCCCCCTCTACGCCATACCCAACACTTACTTTCCACCACGAGTTCACAATCACAGAAAGCTTCCCCAAATTTGTTCACTGCGACACAGCTATAAACTCCCTCGTCATCCAACGTGACATTTCTGATGATAAGCTCTTGTAATCCACCATTCTCTCGCATCTCCACACGACTGCTTTTCCTCAGAGGTTTTGATCCAATCATCCACTTTACTTTCGGTGTAGGTTTCCCACTCACTCGTACGCTCATCTTTACTTCAGAGCCCTCGTCTATTTCCAATTCTTCAGGGAGAGATTCTAGGAATTCTGGCGCTTTTTCACCAGACTTTTCATCATGTTCACTGAAATGTAAGATGAATAAATAGTGGAAAAAGTAGACTATACGTAGAGTTTCCAAGTGCAGCCATCCCCTCCCCCAACTGCGAAACTCAGATAAAAATCAGTTTAAATTTCGACATTTTCAGGTAAAATATGCGTAATAAAGTCGTTATTTTTGTGAAACGATAACCATCTTTGTAAAATACAGTCAATTTAGATCCAATTTGTTTGCGAATTTGCTTTAGAACTGATAGACCTATACAGTATACATAAACGTAACATTTAAATCGACATGATCTACTGTACAACCTTTACCTAACAGACTCTAAAGGTTTCTGGACAACTTTTATAGGACTTTCACTCTCTGTCAAAGGAATTGTCACATTGAATTCCGATAATGGAGTTTTCTTTGAAGCTTGTTGTTCATCTGTTTCATGCTCAAGCTTTCCATTAACAAGTGATGATGGTGTATCTTCAGAAACGGCTCGAGGTTTTGGTTTGTCAGGGTGTTCAATGGTGAATGATATTTCATCAAATGGCTGGGCAACACGACTAGCTGGTTTATCATCTGCTTGTAGTGGTATGAATGATGGGATTTTGTCAGGAGAGGTTTGCACATTGTTTCCATGTTGACGTGGTTCTATAATTGGTTCTAAAATAGAAGTAAAATAATACCAGTTAGTTATGCACATGTTTATTTAGATCTGAACAACATTTTGCCATTGGTGAGTTTCAGTCACTGAACTCCATATATATCTGCAGTTAGAACTGGAGTAAAAAAAAGTGAAGCCAAAAGATCGAGTTATTGGGCTTCAGCTCCAGGCTCTGTCTATTGGTTTTGTCTGCGCGGTCAGAATCGAAGCTGCCAGGAGTGTACCAAAATTTCGTGTTTTGACTTCGTTTTGTAGAATTACACTGTGGTTTTATGAACTGACAACTTGTGTAGCGATACGGTGTGTTAGAAATATCTGGAATTAGCTGGGGGAAAGTGGTATTAAAATTGCTTACGACCTTCATAAGTATTGGATGTCAATTTCCGCTATCTTGCCTTCACTTTCTCATAGACCGAATGACTGACGTTCTTGCTCCAGAAATGTATATATAGCTCACTGGTTCAGTAAGCGGGACGGGGTGGCAGTTGGTGGTGAAATGTTTACAGTTATAAAACTTGCCGTGTATGTTTTAAATAGCACTTAAAAAACTCATTAATAATTCATAAACCTTGTGGCAAATCATGTCAGCCATAATATGTCAATATATCTGATAAAACTCATCTTCATTAGTATTCTTTATATAATGGTTCATCCTAATTATAGTATTATAAAACATTCCTACGCGTGTTTTAAATAATACTTAAACATTTATCATACAATTTCGCCGCATGATGTGTTATGATGTTCCTTGCATGGGCTGAATACTGACATGCATATTTTCATACAAGTACTGATGACTTATTCGTTGTGACTACATTTCACTTACCCTGTTGTACATGATCAGGGGTTCTCGCCTGCATTTCAGGTGTTGACTTTACTTCAGGCTGCGCATCGTGTCCGTATATCGCCTCGGGAGATCTTTCCTGCGTATCCAATATAACATACGGTTCATCAACTCCACTGAATGGAATATTAAAACGTATTTCTTGGACCGGGGTTGTCGGGGTCTTTTTGCGAGGTGGGGCATCGGTCTGTGTACTTGGCGGGGCTTGTCCCTCGGGTCTTTCTTCTGGGGATACTGGCATGGTAAAATGAACTTCCGGTTGAGCCCCTCGAGGTTCATCAGCTCGATCACGTGGTGTTCCCGTATCGCCCGAGACACGCGGGTCTTCATGCGGGACAAGTGGTTCTCTTCCACTATCAACTGGGGTTCTCATCAGTACTTCGGATCCATCAGAAGTTGATTTTAACTCGGGTTCTTGTAGAGGGACAGTTACTTCTGCGGGTGTATTGAGTGGGTAGGTACTTTCTGCCGGGAGTACATTCTCCTGGGTCTTTCCAACGGGTATACTTACCCCATCAACAGAAATAACGTTATGCACCTCGGGAATTAAAGCTCTCGGTTCGGAGTCTGGTTGCTCTTTCTTTGCTTGTGGTTTACCGCGAGTTTCAAACGGACTGTCTCGGAAGTGAGGTTCGCCATTTTGTTGTGTAGTTGGTAGCTCTTGAAATGGTTCACTTTCAACGTCGATGTTCTGTTTAAATGTGATTGGTTCTGTTTTGTAGTCGACATGGTTAGACATTTCTCCCTCCTCGGCAAAAGTGTCTTCGTCTTCTTCGTCCATTGAAACTGAAGAATTAAGTTGTGTGTTAGTTTGGTTGTTACTTAACTAAACTAACTTTATTTATAATAATGTATAGTCCCATCAGTTCTTAACTGTTCTTTCTAGAGGTTCAGTATGAGCTGTCCTTAATGGCCCAGTATTACTAATAGATAAAATCTAACCAAACCAACTTTATTTTATACTGGTAGCTTTATCAGTTCTAAACTGTTTCCTCTGGAGGTTGTACTAAAAGAGTAAACGTACTAAATTTATTCACACACAGGGGCGCCGGAAAGTCGATAATTGGGGGGGGGGGGGCAGAATACAGGGGGAATATATATATTCATATATTCATGTTCTGCATCATTAATTTCCTTTGAAAGCGATTGTTTTTACAGTCTGTGATCATGAATATATGAATATCTGCCCCCCCCCCCAAATTATCGACTTTCCGGCGCCCCTGTTCCCACACGTTAGTTCTATCAGTTCTAAACTGTTTTCTCTAGATATCTTGTGAGGACCATATCTTATTGCTCTACTGTTACCACAAGACGAAACCAGAGTACATGTGCACTTGTACAAAAGCTAGCCTACTACTAGATTTTCAACAAGTGTATTTGTCATAGTAAAAACTGGCAAAGTTGTCTATACAGACGAACAAATTAAACTTGTCATATGAAAATTTGTATAAAGAAAAACTTGCTGTCTGCAGTAACCGGCTCAACCGATACCCCCGACATTCATGTACATTACTTACGTTCAATGTTGACAGCATAAGTTCTGATCCTGGTACCCAGTGGGTTTGAAGCCACGCATTTATATTCTCCTGCATCAGAAGGACTAGCTCCTACAATCGTGAGCCAATGAACATCTCCTCGAGACTGGGGCAGATAGTGAGGTGATGACGTAATCAATGTATCATTCTTGTACCATTCGACATCCGGTTTGGGGTTCCCTGCGACTTCCGCCTCTAGGATAATGTCCCCTCCGTCTGTGATTTCCATTGAGAGATCGTGAATGACATTCTTGAATTCAGGTTCAAATTGAGGAGGCCCGGTGTCAAAGAGAACTACTTTCTTTGGTGACTTTGGTTTCTCTGTTGGCGTTTCTAAAATGAAGATTGATGTTGAGTATAACATATGCATAAAGTTATGTAACATTTGAAGAACTGACTACTAAAATTTGAAAGATTTTTTCAGCACTGTACTTGGTTTAAACTGAATATTGGTCAGAGTAGATGAATAATCCAAGTGTCGTTTACGAATTGACAACCCAGAAATACAGTATTTTGCTGGCAATTGACGAAAAAACGCCAAAGCAACAGCTCGTTTTTCAGAAAAGTTGTCCAGATTATTAGAAGTTTCCTTTTCTACTGTTTTGGAATAAACAGACGTGCAGAAATACACAACCCAAAACAGTGGGTTAAATTTTAATCCAGGGTTAGCGCTAATCTAGCTTTGAACCGGGGTCCGGTTGTTCAAAAGCTGGTTAGCTTAAGCCTAGGTTAACGAGAAATTTCCGAGCAAATGCCCCTACAAGTTGCTTGCAAACATGGAAATATTCTTCCAGAAATCTTGTTTGGATCAACAGAGAATTTTAATTTTAAAAAATTCCGAGAAAAACAGATATGCACAAATACACAAACCAGAAGAGGAAGGTAAATTTTAACTCTAATCTAGCTTTGAACAACCGACTCTGAGATTGCGCACGAGATTCGAGGTTTACGAAATTTATTATGGATGTCTATAGCTAGTAGATGCCGATTCGTCTTCAATATACTTCACCCACCTGGTTCATTTTTTAACTCTTCAATGCCTGTTTGCTTGGAAACACGTGGTTTTTGCAAAACGTTCATAGGAGCGGAGCATTCCGTCTCTCCAACGGCATTTCTCGCGATACATTTATACACCCCAGTATCAGATGGTTTACAATTCTCTATGACCAGCGAATATTTATCATCACCATCAAGCGCGTCGACTATTACAAACCGTTCATCATCTGTAATAAGACTCTCCTCTCGGTACCATGCCACTTCCGGTTCACACGTTACCCTGACAACCATCTGAGCATCCTCGCCTTCTTTGATGGTCAGCGGTTGCAAGGTTGTTGTAAAACGTGGGGCCTTAATGGACTCGTTTACCAAAACGGACGCACTGGATTCACATTGCCCGTTATTATTAGTAGCAATAAGTTTATACTCTCCCTCGTCCTGTGGGCTCACTCCAGAAATAACCAAAGTACAAGTGTCGTTTTTAGTTGTGACTGTTTTCCTAGAGTCCATTTCTAAAGGTTTGTTGTCTTTAAACCAATTGAGTTCAGTAGAAGACAGTTCAGAGAGACGACATGGTAGCTTTAAAGTGCTCCCTTGTCTCACTTCTTGAGGTTTGAGGTTTTCAATGAAGGACGGAGGTTGCCTTGGTTCAGGGGGGAGCGAAGAAGCATCAGTGTCATCTTCATCTTTACCTAATGAAACAAGAAGAAACTAAAGCTGTGGATCAGGCAGTATTCTACAATAAACTGCCGTGACTTGTGTCTGAACTACCTGAAAAAGATATCTCAAATGTGGTGGTCCATTGTAGGTAGTATTCTACAATAAGCTGCCGTGGTTTGTGTCTGAATTACCTGAAAAAGATATCTCAAATGTGGTGATCTAGTGGAGGTATAATATTCTACAATAAGCTGTCGTGGTTTGTGTCTGAACCACCTGAAAAAGATATTTCAAACGTGGTGGTCCAGTATAGGTAGTATTCTACGATAAGCTGCCGTAGTTTTTGTCTGAATTACCTGAAAAAGATATCTCAAACGTGGTGTTCCAGTATAGGTAGTATTCTACGATGAACTGCCGTAGTTTATGTCTGAACTACCTCCCTCGAAAAGATCTCAAACGTGGGGTCCACTGTAAGTAGTATTCTATATGAGCTTGCCATGTTTGAGTCTGAAATCCAGTGTAAATAGCATTCTACAGTAAGCAGTCGTTTTAGTATTTTATGTTAGTTGTACATATCTAGTCTAGACAACTCGCTTCAAAATATCGTACAGCTGGCACGACTGACCTGACATGCGTAGAAATATCTTTATTTAGCAAGTATAACAAAACAATTGCTTACCCTCAATATCCAGGCTGTAGACCCTCGTAACTGTTCCCAGATTGTTAGTTCCAACACATTTATACGTCCCTGAGTCGGTGGGGGACACATGAACTATATCCAAACAATGCCTATCACCATCCACGATCTTCACAAAATGTTCCCCAATGTCAACAGGTGTCTCGTCTTTAAACCATTCAACCACTGGGGTAGGAACTCCCCCGATCCTTGCTTCGAGTCGTACGTTTCCCCCGTCCAAAACAGTTACTGAGCCGTCTTGAGCTTCCTCTGTAAACACTGGCGCCATTTCCGGCTCTGTGACATCGACATTGGGTTCAGCCATAACTTCCTCAACAGAGCTTGGAACTAAATTCAACTTAGAATCGGGTTCCTCGACTGAAAGTTCGGCTGTTGTCGTAGTGCTTCCGGAATCGTTCGTGGCAACACATCGATATACCCCGCTATCGTCTGGAGTTACATTTGGTATAAGCAATGCGCACACGTCATCCGTCAGCTTGAATTTAATAGCATCGTTTTCTTTTAAAAGTTTGTTGTTTTTAAACCATTCAATTTTGCTTGCAGGCGATCCTCCCAACTGACATTCAAGACGCGCTTGTTCTCCGGGAACGACCTCAACGTTGCTCAATGTTTCTACAAATTCTGGTGGTCCACTTTTAGCTAAAATGAAAAATAGATTATTTTCTCGTATATCCTCAATAACAGTGGAATAGACCCATTGCACATGACGTCACAGCGCCGGTGACGATGCATCTGGAGGACAAATTAGCAATCTATGCATAATATAACTTTTGTAAACAAAGCAAATTTTGTAAATGTTTATAATAATTTTGTATTAAAATTGTTAATTTTTGCGCTGTATGTGGTTGTTGTACCCGAACAGATATTGTTAGGGAGCATCTGGAGGACACTCTAAGGATCTGTGACGTCAGTGCAATGGGTCTATATAGCGTTTAGTAACTGCAGGAGTAGCAATAAGAGATGATATGAAGAACAGTTTAAAACTGATAGAGCTATGTGGTGTAGTGTTACGACATCAATATATACAGTTCAAGAGTAATGTCTGCCCACAAAATTTCTTCCTTTAACAGTTTTCGTTTTATGTTGTCATATTATCGCAATTTCAAGCGTCAAAATATCCCTGTGACTGTTAAATTCGATGTCGTGATAAGCGAATCCGGTAAAAAATCCGGTATTATAAATTCATGTCTCGCTGTTTATGAATATTGACTGTAATCTTTACCCGGACAAAACAGAAAGACATGCGAATATTTTGGCAAAATTCGTCGCGAACTTCGTTCCGAAGGAAGACAGAAGAACAAACACTGGAAAGAGCTTCATGTGTCGCTGTTTTGTCTGGGTCAGGGTAAGGATTACGATCAGTATTCATAAACAGTGAGACATGAATCTATAACGGGAAGAACACGTTGAGATACCACCAGTGACCTCAAACTCAATATGCGCAGGATAATATGCAGACAGGCTAAAATTGTGAAGTACGTATGTCTTCGTACTTCGTTGTCTTGCTCAAACTCTCTAAGCAATACCAGATAACCCACCTTCGATATCAACATGATAAGTCCTCTCTGCAATCCCTCCAGTATTCGTTGCAATACATTTATACGACGCCGAATCATCTTTGGACACACCCACTATGATCAACTTATACGTATCATCGTGTTGCTCTATCTTATAATGTTCATTCTCTTTCAAGGGCTGCTCGTTTTTAAACCATTCAACTTTAGGTTTAGGTCGTCCGACAATGGTCGCCTCAAGTTTTATATCGCCTTGTTCGAGGATTTCAATTGCAGTGTCCTCCGGTTTGTCTTCGAATGAAGGAGGTTGTAAGGGCATGGTTGATACTGTCAGTGCGGCTGAAGATTCTACTATACCCACGGAGTTCTCACCTACACATTTGAATTCCCCACTGTCTGTGACCTAAATAAATACGTTGCTGACACATCAGTTAATGCATTGTTTAATTAAAGTGCAAAGATTAGTGTATGTGTCTTTCATAATGCTGTGCAAACTTAAAACAAAGCACTATCTTTGTTTTTGATTTTTAACACTTCCCATGAACATTTCGTACTATGTTTGTGGCAAGCCTACGCAGTATCAATGCGAGTATTTACTTTTTCGTCGATGGATTCAGGGTTTTTTCGCCGATGTCCGACAGTAGTTTGTAGCACAAATAAGTGCTGCCGGAGTTTTGCCGGAGTTGAACAAACTTCGGCTCCAGCTCCGGCAAAATAGGCCAAACTCCGTCTCTCCGGCTCCGAACCACAGCACTAGTCTTTCAGTTTTGAGACTGGGGCTGAATCCATGCAGAATGGAGCTGCATTAATAGAAAGCTTTGAGCGCTGTTAAAAAGCTGTTTTTTTGTAAATTTTAAACCGGGCAGTTTAAAGACTGGGACTGGCCTTCAAGTTCGGCTTCAAATTCACCCGTTTTGCTACTTCTAAATGGGTACATATCCGTAATTCTAAATTTTAGAATGCGGGTAATACCCATGCTAGGTATATACCTCAGCTACCTGAATTGAAGACAAAACCACAAGCATTAGGCCAAAGTTTTACTTACAAATAAAACCGACCATAACTGGCGGTTGGCGGGGTGGGGGACGTCAAAACCCCTTTAGGGGTTAGGTTCTAGAGGTTAGAGGTTAGGGTCGGGTTGGGGGTTGCGATTAGGATGCTGAGGTATATACCTAGCATGGGTACTACCCGCATTCTAAAATTTACAATACCGGCTACGTACCCATTTAGAAATAGCGAAACGGCTGTCAAATTTCGGGTTGGAGGTAGCGTTCCAATTATACTCATTTCACTGGTCCTTACCTCAGCCAAGAATATATATATCGCGGTATATGCTTATGGTTGTGGAACTAACGCCTGTATTCCGAAAGCTCACTCATACTCACACTCAAAGAGTGGTGGTTCAATCTGAGCTTCTCTTGAGTCTCAGTGAATAGCTGGAGGGTGAGTAGTCCTAGAGTAAGTTACGACATTAACGCCTGTATTCTAAAAGCTCACTCACACTTAAAGAGTGGAGGTTCAATCTAAGTTTCCCTTGAGTGTCAGTGCTGTTTTGGATAGCTAGAGGGTGAGTAGTCACTTGGTAAGGTACGAGACTCACCCTCCAGCTATTCAAAAACTGCACTGACACTCAAGGGAAGCTCAGAATGAACCTCCACTCCTTGAGTGTGAGTGAGCATTTAGAATACAGGTGAAAATGCATCAAACATTCCTGTATTCCTGCTACACCAATGTTCTTACCTTACAATATTTCACAGTCAAGCAATACGTAATCCCATTACTTTCAACACTGTACTTCTCACTGTCCACCACAGGTAACCCATCTTTACACCAGCTCACTTGAGGAGTAGGACTACCCACGACTTCTACAATAAACTTGACTGACGTGCCAGACAACACTTCGGCATCGCGAAGCGCTCGGAGAAACTTCGGTGGCCCAGATAACGGTTGAATATCGAGTTTAATTGGGCAAGAATCTTGGCCTTTGGAATTGGTGGCTACACATCGGTATTCTCCGGAATCGGTCGGCTCAGAGTCGTGGATTATAAGTTCGTACAGACCAGTTTGGTCATTAAATTGGGTCTTATATTTTGTGTTGTCTTCCAAAGGTACACCATCTTTCAGCCATTTAACTGTGTCTGGAGGTCCGTGAACCACGACAGCGAGACATGTGTTCTGTCCATCAGCGGTATATGTATCACGTATGGTTTCGACGCGTGGCTTCGTGACCACCTCGCGTGGGGTCTCGCGTAGCGGTATGATATCCTCGGGTATTGGGGTTGAAGGTCGCATATCTGAGGTGGGGACTTTGTGAAATCCTCCGTCCTCTGTATCAATAGTAAATCTAAAAGGTATTACGGTCAATGTAAGATGGTATACAGAACAGTAAAACAACAAAGACACATTCTTAACACTGGATCGTCACTGGTTGGTACTGGACAGCTGCGGATTAAGATATGCAATTTCCCGACGAAGTGCCTTCGTTCAAAACGTCGAAGTTTTGCTTATATTTTGCAGCTAGTTGCATCCACTGATCTGAAATAAGGACTGGATGAAGCATCCTATTGAATTCAGTAACCCGATTTTGAAGCCAGAATATTTTAATGAGACGAAATTTATAAATCAGTCAAATTCATGGCCAGTCTAATCGTTTGCTGTTCAAGTTCAGTTAGACCATAAAGCAAATAACTTCGCCTATGTGACTTGTGAAATATAGCTTCCAAAACCTCTTTGAAATAGTTTTAGAACGTTTTATACACCACATACTGAGGCTTATGGCGGCCATATTTGATGGTCATTAGTTATTCACCGGCAAATTTGGGAAAAAAGAGAGGCTACTGATGATAAATTCTTATCTAGGCAATGTTTGTCCTTTCCCATTAGTGACTAGAAACATAAAGGAAGAGTTAAACATGTCCACAACACCAGATTAGATTAATGGTTGGGCCATCCAATATGGCCGCCATTGGCTTCACTTGTGCACAGCACATGCACTATCCATTATTTTAGATCAGTAATTGTATCTCTCTCAGTATCGTAGCTACCTACACTGGCTAAAGTTTCCGCTATTAGTATTACCTTAGCTCTTTCTCAGCGGGTTCCATGTAGACTCTGTCGACCTCTTCGACTATAACAGGAATGTCTCCCAAATCAGGCTTTGCCAAAGGCTTGATATCCGGTTGCACCTCATCAACTAGCAATTCAACTGTGGTAGAAACCTCTCCTGATGGATTTGAAGCAGTGCAAGTATAAATCCCTTCATCGTTAAGATCAGCATCATCAATAATCAACGAACTGTAGCCATCTTTAGTTTCATGCCGAACCCGTCCTTGCTCAGGTATCTCCTCTTTCTTTTCATTAAACCACTTTATCTCTGGCACAGGGTTTCCTGCCACAGAACACCGTAGCAATACTTTATCGTTTTCATTTACGGTAATATCTCTTGGAACTGACACAAACTCTGGTTCGTTCTTAATCTCGAATATTATTTCTGGGAACTCAAAATCTTGTTGGATTTCAAGTCTTTGGATCCGTGCTTCAGTGTGAGGAGTTTCGCCTTCAGGTATTTTCAACTTTGCAACACTGCTGTTTTGTCCTTCTCTGTTTTGTACAACAACCTTGTAGTTCCCTTCGTCTTCAACCCCAGTTGGAGTGAACTTCAGAGTATATCTGCCTTCCTTCGAATCCATTTCATATTTTGATGTCGCTCCATCCTTTGAGATATCCTCAACTGGCACCTCGTCCTTAAACCAGATCACAGAAGGCTGTTGTCCCTCGACAGAAGGCAGGCCCTCGATTTCAATGGATAACTCGACTTCTTTATTCGGTACAATTTCTGAATCAGAAAGCGGTTTCTTAAAGCGAAGAGTAGAGGGTAATTCTTCCACGAGCATCTCGCAATGGCTTGAGCAAGTGTCGACCTCATTTGAAGCAATGCACGTGTAGTCCCCTTCATGGTCTAAATCAGCTTTCTTTACGATTAACCTGAAGAAAATAACAAACAAGAATTAGACTGTACCATAGAAGAATGGCTCTTGCTGGACCTCTAGGCAGAACATTTTAGTACTCCTGTCACCACAGTAGTAACACTAGATCAGTAAGGTCTGGCCCTTATACTGGACCTTTAGATAGGGCAGTTTAGGACTGATAAAGCTATCCTACAGTTTAGTTTAATATAAAAGTTTTGGACACACAAACCTGAAGACATTTCCTTCATTTTCTGTAAATACGCAATCATTTTCCACAAGTGGTTTTCCTTCGAATTCCCAGCGAACGTCTGGCTTTGGTAATCCTTCAACAATAACCTCAAGCTTGACATTTTCGTTTTCAAAAACTTGGCAGTTCTTTAATGGCTTGATAAATCTCGGTGCAACATGGTCTTTACCATCTCTGGATGTCTTTTCTGGATTGCTTTCCAAGTCGACTATCATTACTGGAACCTCGACGGCTTTTCCTGGCACTGGTGTTTCAGTAGCTTCATCTAAGTAATGATATAAGTATGGTTATTGCTTATTATTGTTTCAGTGCTACTGCAAAAGGTAACCTAAACTAAACTAACTTTATTGATACTAGATAGCCTATCAGTTTAAAACTGTCCTTCCTAGAGATCAAGTAATTGTTATTGCTTGTTGTTTCAGTGTTACTAAAAGAGGTAACATAAACTAAATTAACTTTATTTATACTGAATAGCTGTAACATTCTAAACTGTTTCCCATTAAAATCCGGTAATGGTTATTGCTTATTGTCCAGCTCAACCACAGGAGGAAACGAGACTACTCGTAGCAGAGCAATGTCTGGAAGCAAACTGGAAGCACTATTTTCACATTTGACGGAGGCGAAATTATAATCAGACAACCGCATAATACAGGAGTCAAACCTTGGTCAGAGATGTGAAGTACATGTAATGACCACTTGCTCGGCAGTTCAAGGCGTAACTTACAACGGAGTGAACATATTGGTTACCTGGCATGAGATCTTCAACAGCCACACTACATCCCGTTGCTGCCTTCCCTACGTTGTTGCGTGCAACACACTTATAATTCCCTGCGTCTTCCGGTTCCACCTGACCAATCAGCAACTTCGACGTTCCTTCCTCTGTCACCACTCCGCATCCGGGGCTTGTCACCAGCGATTCACCATCTAAAAACCACGTCACTTCCGGTTCTGGTGTTCCCACAAAAGTTGTAGTGAGTTCAAGAGGGCTTCCGGTTGGTAACGTTGTATCATGTAGTTTTCGGATGAATTTTGGTAGAACAGTGTCATCTTCTAAAGTGAGTGTAAAAGGACAAGTAGAAAGACCAGCATCATTCCTTGCTTCAAGGGTGTACTCGCCTGAATCGTCTGGCGTACAGTTCGTTATAACCAAGCTTTGGACGCCATCTTCGTCTATAATTTGATGCCTGGTGCTTGGTTGTACTGGTTTATTATCTTTCAACCATAATACCTCAGGTTCTGGTCGGCCAGAAATCTTAGCTTCAAATTTGACAGTATTTCCTGCAATGGACACTACATCTTGTGGTACTTTGGCAAATTCTGGTGGGGTCCAGGTTGAAGGGTTAGGCTTTACACTCAAGTGGGCATCACTACACGCTTGACTACGATCGTTCCCGACAGTGCACCGATAATCCCCGATGTCATCCGGAGTAGCATCTTTTACAATCAACTTAAGTTCGTTATTCTTGACTTCCGTGAAGTATTTTTGCTCATCACTTTGAATGGGGTTCTTATTTTTGTACCACTGAATGCCGAGTGGATGTGAACCGGAAATGACGCAATCAAATGTGACGTCATCACCTTCGATGGCATCAACGTTTTTGAGCGGTTCTATGAATGATACCGGTTCTATGTTAAGGTGGCTAGGCTGTACATCTTCAGGAAGCGGTACTGATATGGTCACAGGTTTAAAAGCAATCTCGCCCGATCTTGGCTCGTCGCTGTTTGGTAGAGAACTTTCTACTGGTTCATCTAGTGCTATCTGGATCGTTTGTTCGGGGAAACCGACTGGTTTCATGGTTTCTGCAGTAGATTTGTCTTGCTTGGGAGCTTCTAAAAAGCATTCAAGAAGGAAGATATTGTGACTACTGTTAACAGACATGTCTCGTTACTTTGGAGTACATGATTGAAAAAATTGACAGTATTATATCTCGTTGTAGTATCCCTATCGAAACTTGACTTATACAGTATTATATCTGGTTGCCGTATGGTTATGGTTACCTGCTACTGTTAAAATGTCAAATGTATCCCATTACTAACCTTTAGGCGTTTGTTTTTCTGACTCCAAAACATATTTTGGGATCCATCCTCTAGACTCTTCTGTTCCATCACCACGGAATTTCACAATATACACACGGTCGTCGGATTTTGCAGGGACATTCAGTATGGCCACCTGATCACCTTGCTTCACTGACAGCTCATCCGGGGATCTTCCCTTGAAGTTCATCGTGATTGGTTGTTTCTTACTGGGAATATCAAGCTCCATCACTTCACTAAAATTGAAAGAAAAATTCTTTATAAAATAACAGTGCTGTAAAAAGATAAAAAAGATAGATATATAACATTAGAAATATTAGGGAAAAAGATAGGTAACACATTGATTGGGCTTAGGATCTGAAAGAAACCGTTTCAAGCCTTTGAATGTCTTGTAGCATCTGCCTTTTTACTTTCTCGAAATGAAACGTGTTTGTTTTTGTTATTAAAGCAAAAATTTTCCTTACCCATTGGGGTTCTCCATTCGAATTATTATGGCGTCAATGATGTCTTTGGCTTTCTAAATAAAATGTTAAAGTAAATAGCGTGAGTATGTTTTAGTGCTATAGTGGATATATCGTTTGCAATATGTAGTTTGATTATAATTTCGTCTCAATTGCATGTGAGAAGGGTGGTTTCACTTCAACTCCAACAAGCACAGCAGATTTTCTCCAGGTATGCCAGTTCGGCATTTCCCTCCTGTTAGTAACACTGAACCAATGAAGGATGGCTCCTAATCGAGCCCTAGGGAGAAGAGCTTAGAACTCATGCAGCTATCCAGTATAAATTTTTAGGTTTCCTCCTGTAGTAATAGTGGATCAATAAAGGATGACCCTTACTAGACCTCTAGGGAAAACAGTTTAGAACTGATCGAGCTATACAGTTTAGTTTAGGTTTCCTCCTGCAGAACAATGGACCAATGAAGGATAAACAAATATAGGAAAAACAGTTTAGAACTAATGCAGCTATCCAGTATGTACTTTACTCTACTGTTTACGTAATCGTAACCGAACTCCTAACCTTTATCTCAGAGCAATCCTCAGGAAAGTATTCTCCACACTGTACAAGTTGTGTAAGATACGTCCTGTATGCGTAAATCCTTTTGATTGGTTCCTCCAGAATAGATTCCAGTGAAGGAATGTGAGTCTTGGAAAGCAATTTCTACAAAGAGATTAAAAAGGGAAAATGAAATATAAATGGGGCCCTGTTGTTCAAAGCTTGGTTAAACCTGGGTTAAAACTACGACCTCATCATAAAGTCCTTGTCGCTTACGGATCGAAAGCTTGTGAAATAAATTCCGAAAAAAATGGTACATACCTGGAAGAAAGACGTTGGTACTGACAAAAGGACTAAATCTGATTCAGGTTTCTTTTCTCGGAATGTAAGGTATCGTTGAAGTTCGTTTTTCTAGGAAAACAATTAAATGAATATACAATAGTTACTTGTCATGCATTTTAACTCGGCGTACTTGCTTAAAAATACTTAAACAAAACTCGAACGCAAAATCTTACCGAGTTCACAAATGCCTTTCCAACTGATGACGGCGTTTTCTGACAATTTTGCAGTTCAATAACAAAACTAAAACGGGATATTTACAGAGAAATACAAGTTTACTTAAAGTGTGCAAGTGTAAACGTGTACCTTTAAGTGTACACATGTGTTTCAAGTGTACTTTTTTCAGTGTCTAGATAAGAGTCTCATATAAAACGCACGTCTCTTACGTTTTGTGGAAATCTTCAATTTCATCTATGTTCATAAAGATGGATTCCTTTGCATCGGGGCTCAGCTCAGTGGAGTCTTTTACTTCAGCCATGTATTTCTATGGAAAGAAATTGAGAGGATATAGAGATTAAGGGACAATTTATAATTACATACGAATAATACATTCAGCCCATTTAAATTAGCGCCAGATAATATGGAGACGTAATAAGAAGTATTGAAGGAGAGCCGGTCAGATTCATCAAAGACTGAAGAGTTCAAAAGTAAGGTGGTATGCATTACAAAGAAGCAAGGTTGTGATGATATTGACATGTTATAAAAAGAGATCAAAAGAAAACGGTCAGAGGTATTATTGGATGAAGAGATCAGAAGAAGATACAATACAAAAGGATGCAACACCAAAAGATGTGGGGTGGTAGACATTGCAGAGAAGGTGAGGGAAGCAAATTTGTTATGGTATGGACACTTATAAAAAGAGATGAAAGAAAACTGATGAAAGACATTACTGTATGAAAAGATCAGAAGAAGATGTGGGGTGGCATATATTCCAGAGAAAGTGAGGGAAGTCAGATTCACATGGTATGGGCACGTGATAAGAAATGAAGGAGAGTTGGTCAGAGACATTATTATATAGGATATAAAAGAAAACAGAGGACAGAAGAGATCGAATTAGAGATCAATGAGACAGAGTACAAGGATCGAAGCAACCATGCAATTTTGCTGAGTACGTAAAATGCGAGAATTTTTCATATAATTTTCTTTCGCCACTGTATTGGTGGTTTTAAGTGGTTGACCACCATCTGCTCCACGATAGTAACTCTTCTACACAACCATATACCTGCACATTTCCAAGTGACTTGACATAATTCTTCTCACTTTCAATAAGATCTTCCAAAATCTCATTAAACTTTCCGCGGGCATGTTGTTCCTGGTCAGCAGAGTCCGGCAGATGAACCATGATTTCAACTGGATCAAACTTTGGCTCAGGCGAGGTGAATACTTCATCTTGTGTTCGACTTTGGGATATCAATTCAGGCGAGGGTGTTGTGGGTGGAGAACGAAAGACACTTACTGTACCTGCACTGTGGGGAACGGAGAGTTCTCGGTCTGAAGGAGTCACATCGTGTCTGAAACATAAAACAAATGTTACATTACAAGGGTTATCTGTTGTTGATCAAGTGTTATTACAGGATAAACCTGGAGTACCCAATGAAACAGGAAGAACTGTGGAAAGAATATTATAATAAAGCATGTCTTGCTACACCTCACATGCGCCTGAAGCGATATCATAATAGTCCTACAATAGACAATTCTCATTACACACTAATTTTAAAACTACGCAAGGAGATGCAAATAAATCACCACAGCTAGAAAGAGCATATTAAAACGAGTAAAATTGCAAAGTTTGGTTGCGAAATGTTGTTAAATTGGGAAAATATAGCCTTGCAAAGTTTGCAAATTTTGTATACTTTTGTCTTGCGTGTGGAAATTGCTACCATTTTCGGCCCAAATGTGGTAGCAATTTCCGCACGCAATACAAAAGTATACAAAATTTGCGAACTTTGCAAGGCTATATTTTCCGCATTTTACAACATTTCGCAACCAAATTTTGCAATTTTACTCATTTTAGTATGCTCTTTCTGGGAATATACTTTTTTTGCCAAGATAAAAAATAGTCTATAATAGGAATTGTCTATTGCATAATGCGTAATGTTTTGACAATAAAATTAACATTTACCTTCCTTTCTGTCCCAAGGTATGTTCAATCTTTAAACAAATCTTCTCGTTCGACTGTTGAATTTCGTGTTTAGTTTCTTCCAAGCCTACAGGTTGTTTAAACTGTCCTTCAACAATAACCAGTTCGGTATGCTGGTCACTTCCTTCAGGTTCGAGGGCTTGTGCAGGTCTATCTGTAGGTAATACCGTACTTGATTTAACCTGGATGTCTAATCGTTCTGTAGTGGGTTCATCTTCCGATATATAATCCCCGGTTCTACGAGATTTCTCCACCACAAATACTTCGAGTTCTGTTCGTGTTTCTTTCTTCACACTCGAGACTGTCTCGCGTGTCGTGGTTTCCCATGTACGTTTTCGTGTGAACTCTGTTCTTTCTCCATCTTCATGGCTAACAAAAATAAAATTGTTATTAAGTTATTAAGTTATTAAGTTATTAAGCTATTAAGCTATTAAGTTATTAAGCTATTAAGTTATTAAGCTATTAAGTTATTAATTAAGTTATTTTGTATTTTGCATTTTGCATTTTGCATTTTGTATTTTGTATGGTAAAGTATAGAATGGTACGGCATGGTACGGTAAGGTGTGGTCGTATTATGGGCATAGTATAGTATATGGTAATATCTTTCTAGTAATCCACACCTACCTTGTTAGAACCTTAGGGCTTGTTTCCACAGCAAGGTTCGTCTCCACTTCAACATGCTGTCTAAAAATAGGGCCCTCCGTGACAGATGGCCCCACTTCCATTTTAACAACCTCGTTTCCCTCGGTCGGCCAATACTCTGGAGAACTTTCGTGGATCTGGTCTTGTATACGTAACACCACCTCTCGCTCTGGAGAACCCTCTGCATCCTCTGGAATCCAGCGTTGTATCTCGGAGTCCACAATTGGTCCCATCTGCCTCTCAACTTGAGGCCCGACAGACCTGGACAGATAAAGGAACTGAAGTTATATATTTGATCATCGAACCTCTCCATACAGCCACTTTTGTAATATGACCCCTCTCTAATACCGACACTTCTCTAATACGAACATCTCTCTAATACGGACACCTCTCCAATACGAAAACCTCTCTAATAGGGATATCTCTCTAATATGGACAACTCTCTAATACGGACACCTGTCTAATAAAGACATCTCTCTAATACGGACACCTTTCATATATGGACACCTCTCTCTAATATGGACACCTCTCTGATGCGGAAATCTCTCTAATATGGACACTACCCTAATACGACACCTCTATAACAGCGAAAACATTTCTAACAAAAATTACTCTTTCATTTTACTGTATGTAGCCTATTTTTTCTTTCTAGTCAATAGTGTAATGTACAAAATCGCTTCATGTGCTTGTTCTAGCCATTCTCTTGCCAACGGTTAAATGTGATAAATGCAATACGCCGGTGATAACCTTGCAACGCATGCCGGATATACTTTGAAAGCCCTGAAACACTGAAGATTGGCATTGCTTGTAGTCACTGAACACTTTAAACTAGCAATGGAGTATTAATTTATTTTCCCTATTACCTCTCGGTTCGGACGCTCACAACAACCTGGGGCTTTTTGCCATACCCCAGACTCTCTTCCAAGTTTTCATCTGATTTTCGTTTAAAAGTACTGACGCGATCCACTGTCATGACAACTGGCTGACCGCTGGCTGTAGTGTAACCGAACACAGGCTCGGAACTGAGATCCGGCAGAGATGTATCATGGATACTGGAAAGGATTTCGTCATCAGATGCTTCAGGACTTGACATTTCAAACTGCAAATAAAAAGATTGTAGAGTATGGTGTAAGTTGATATGCCTTTCACCTTTGTACCAGGGTTCAATTCTAGCAATATGTAATTGTTTGTAATTGTCGGATTATACACTTTTTCCGTTTTTCAAAATTTTATGGGTTTTTGAATGGTATTTAAAGATTTACCATGTATACTATTAATGTAAAACTGAACTCTTACTGGTTATTATAGATTTTACATGTGGTAAATTTGTAAAAACCATGATGTTTAATATTTACTATTAATGGTATTTTCCTGGTAAATATTAAACATTATGGTGTTTGCTAATTTACCATATGGGAAATCTATAATAACCAATACTGGTAAGAATTCAGTGTTTACATTCAAAAATCCATTAACAGAATTTAACTTCTTTTTCCTGTGATAATTTCGCCCCAGTCGCATATGAGAAAAGCACTGCTAGCCTGACTCTGGGACTTTCTAGATCAGTAAGGGGTGATCGTTATTACACCTTTAGGGATAATAGTTTACATATGAGGCAGAAAACCTAGGCTTCTAACCTGGATTTCTCGGCCTTCTGCTTCGCACAATCGAATTTCATCTGCCATGCGTCGTAATTTTTGCTCGAGTCGCTTGAACAATAATAAGATCCGTTTATGTTTCGTCACCAGGTCTCTCACTTGCTTTCTTTGCTCCTCGACACCTATCTTCGATGCCAGTTCCCCGAGTTTCAAGACGCGGCCATCTTGGCGTTCACAGCCAGGTTTCATAAATTCGACAAGATTTTGAAGCTGTTTAATAAGCTCGTCTTCCGAGTGACATTCTTTTGCATCTGTTCGCGTTGTGTTTACACAATGCTCGCTGTCTGTCAGCCATGTCTCGGACTACAAAATAAAAACGGACGTTCACCTTTTCAGGAACTTCTGACATAAACCACGGCAGCTTATTGTAGAATACTGTTACACTGGACCCACACGTTTGAGATACAATTTATTATTGTACAACACTTTGAGATGTCTTTTTCAGATAGCTCAGACACAAACCACGGCAGCTTATTGTGGAATACTACCTACACTGTACCACCACGTTTGAGATATCTTTTTCAAGAACTTCAAACACAAACCACGGTAGCTTATTGTGGAATACTACTTACATTGCACCACCACGTTTGAGATATCTTTTTCAAGAAGTTCAAACACAAACCACGGCAGCTTATTGTGGAATACTGCCTACACTGCACCACCACGTTTGAGATATCTTTTTCAAGAAGTTCAAACACAAACCACGGCAGCTTATTGTGGAATACTGCCTACATTGCACCACCACGTTTGAGATGGCTTTTTCAAGAACTTCAAACACAAACCACGGCAGCTTATTGTGGAATACTGCCTACATTGCACCACCACGTTTGAGATATCTTTTTCAAGAAGTTCAAACACAAACCACGGCAGCTTATTGTGGAATACTGCCTACATTGCACCACCACGTTTGAGATGGCTTTTTCAAGAACTTCAAACACAAACCACGGCAGCTTATTGTGGAATACTACCTACATTGCACCACCACGTTTGAGATATCTTTTTCAAGAAGTTCAAACACAAACCACGGCAGCTTACTGTGGAATACTGCCTACACTGCACCTGCACATATATTTTTCAGGCAGTTCAGATACAAACTACGGCAGTTTATTGTAGAATAATTCTGTCTACACTAAACCCACTAGTTTGAGATCGTTTTCAGAAGAATACTACCTGTACCGGACCCACCAGTTTCAGGAGCTTCAGACACAAACCACGGTAGCTTATAAAAGATACCTCGTTAATAAAAGTTCGTAAAAAGTTAAACTTTGTGTTTGTAGCTTACTTGTTCCTGGAGTTGGTAAAACTCGACTGCAGCTTCCAACAGTCCTCTGTACTCTTCGACATTGGTGAGAAATCTTTGCCATCTTTTCTCAACTGAAGAAACTTTTCTTTGAATGTTCACAGCATCATGATGTTTCTCTCTTACAAGTTCATCTGCTTCTGTCATCAGTTTATTGACTGCCAGGTCACATGGCTGGATATGAGAAATATGAGTGAGACGTGGTGTAGTGCATGTGGTGTGGTGTGGTGGAAAAGTATAGTATGGTATATTGTGGTATGGTATGGCATGGTATGGCATGGTATGGTATGGTATGGCATGGCATGGTATGGCATGGTATGGTATGGTATGGTATGGTATGGTATGGTATGGCATGGCATGGCATGGCATGGCATGGCATGGCATGGCATAACATGATGTGCTATGGTACATTATTTAAGAATTCAAGCGCTTTCATTGGTCGAGAGCCATGATCTATTAGAGGATAGATACATACATAGTATCACATCACAATGTGGGAAAAACAAAAAAGTGACCCACTCGTCTTGGCGGCTTGTGAACCACTTTTTTGTTCTTTCTACATTATGACGTCATACTGTGCATCTGTAACTGAACAGACAACGGCAAAATCTTATCTATTTGTTAAATACAATATGGTATGGTATGGTATGGTAAGGCATGGTTGGTATCATATGGCATGGCATGGCATGGTATAGTGTGGTGAAACATGGCAATGTATCAGGCCTCGAATTTCTCTGAAATCAATCGACGGCAATGACGTTAAAAATTGCCGTAGAACGTAACAGCTGTCCACGGCAATTTTGGCAGTTTCCACGGCATTTTTTCAAATTATTGTAATAAAAATTTAATTTTATTGTTACTTTGGATTGTTGACAAGCTGGAAACATGTTTACGTATTTCTTTAGTGTTTTTTTTTTGGACGAAAACTGAGACTAAAATAGTAATTTACGCATAATTTGATCAACATCTGAATTCAAGTATCAAAATAGTAATGCACAGTGAATAGTATAAAAATTGCACTATACGGCAAAAAATCGCTGTCGTTGCCGCAATTGCGTCGTTGTGTCTCCCTCTACGGCAATTGCCGCGATAAAATTCAAGCCCTGCATTGTATGTGATATAGTAAATTTTACATATATGCATAACACGCCAATATAAGATTAGGCTTTAAACAGAACAGTCCCCCAACCTTTACAGATTCCAAGTAAAGATCAGAGTCTTTCAAAAGAGAGACGGATTCCATCAAACTCTCTCCGTATTTGTTGTTCACTGCCAGCAAGGCTCTGTTATGTTCTTCAATTTCAATGTTGACCTAAATAAGGGGATAAGTCCAACGTAAGTGGTATTCTACAACAAGCTGTCGTGGTTTGTGTCTGAACCATTTAAGGTTACTCCACATGATGAAAGTCCATTTCAGGAAAATGCTCGCCGCGCGCTAAATATAGTTCAAAATCATTTAATGTGCAGTTTACCCGATTAATTCTTTGTTCAAATTCACACAACTTAATGCTCTCTTGTAGTTTCGTCTTGTGGTGCTCCCAGAGATTCAACCATTCCTCCTTGCGGCTATCAGCCTGATCCACATAACGCTTGATCTGTTCTCGAGACACGCTTACGGCTGCATCATTCTCTGATTTTGTTAAAATATCATGGCCACAGCGTACAGTGAAGTTATATTGGTCTAGTACTGCGTCGTACGAGGCCAGGTGGTCTTGTAACATTAGCTCAGCTTTGGTTAGGTCTGATGTCGACTTTGTGCTGCCGAAGTTCACCACCATTTTGTTCAGCAATTGCGTCAACTGTAAGAAATTGGAGAGAGTGTGATGAATCATGACTTTAGGATATAACCATAACAAAACAGACCATACCATATCATACCAAACCACATTATACCTTATCATACCACATACCATATACCATACTTTGCCATACCATACCATACCATACCATACCATACCATACCATACCATACCATACCATACCAATACCACACCTTTCTATACCATACCATTCATATCAAATACCAATACCATGCCATGCCATACCATACCATACCAATACCACACCTTGCTATACCATACCATACCATACCATACCATACCATACCATACCATGCAACACCATAGCATGCTGTACCATACAAAGCCAAATCATACCACGCAATAGCACATTAATACGATACCATCATACCATACCATACCATACCATACCATAACCATCATACCATACCATACCATACCATACCATACCATACCATACCATACAATAACATATCACATCATATCAACCATACCAAATAAAACCACACTAGATCACCCATACCATACAATATTATACCACTTCATTAATACATCAATATACCACATCACATCATACCACGTTTCTAAATTTAATACTCTCAAAAATTTTCCTTAATCCTTACCCTTTCAACACTTTGATAAAATGTGCAGCACATGGACAAGAAAACTTCATAATCAGCAAGACATGTTTTGAAACGTTCATAAACAATCTTTAATTCGTCTGTGACAATACGTAATGCAGCTTGTTCACCACTTTCGACAAAAACCAAACTTTCTGCAGCTTCAAGATGTTGTTTTACAGCCTCCTCTGCGATCTAAATGAACCAAGACATCACGTTACTTTACATTACATTTGCATTACATCGCATTGGTAAATAACCTGCCTTTGCAGAAGTCTTGTATTTTTCCAATCGCTTGTTCAGTTCTTTGGCGTTGATTGGAAAGAGATTGGTGTTCAGATCAACTTGGAAAAACTCCTCGCTCTGGCTTTGAATCCACGAAATAACCTAAGAGAAAAAATATAAAATTAAATGTACTGCAACTTACAATCATTAAAATTTATTAAACAACATCATCAATTAGCTCACTCAACTATTTTAATCACGCAAGCAACGAGTAACTTTAGAAATAGTTCATTATTAACTTTAATAACTTATTCATTGCACATGAGTCATAAACGGATTCATAATTTTATTGCTAATACTAGTTCATTCATTGACCGAAATAGCTTGAAATCCAGGCGGACAATGCAACCCATTGTAAATAAGTTGATCCATTCATTGCCAGCCAGCGAAATGTCTATAAAGGCCCATTTCAACTCAAGAAAAATTTCCACGGTCAGAAAATTTTCCGAAAATATCATTGTTAAAAGTTGAAACTTTTCAACTTCAAATTTTTTTTCCGATGGAAAATTTGTGTCGGCCAATAACATTTTACAAAATTTTCTTTCTGCAAAATTTTCTTTTCTGGGCCTTTATTAACTCAAGTTATTACCTCACGTGTATCTTTTTCAAACTGACCAAAATTTTTGTTCAAAGTTTTGTTTCTCTCTAACTGTTCTCTTCTGGCGTCCCATATCTCATCAAGATGGAGATTTCGTTCTTCAAACTGTCGCAGGAACTTCCTTATTGTTTCTGCTGGATTCCCTCTGTCCAGGCTGTCTTCACTTTGTTCCTTCAATTAAAACAAATAATAAATATTGTATGTGCACTAAATCAGAGCCCTCTTTTATTAAAACAAAGACGACGAGGTCTTATTATTTAATTTATTTGTTTATAGTGCAAAATTGACATCGTTTTGTCTAAAACTTACTCGTTTCAGTTCATCAAGTAAGGTCAGTCCCAACTTTTGTGTCTTTGCCGAGCTTGAAATAATACTCTCTCTTCTTTGTTGTTGTTGAAGGATAGTGGAGGGTGAAGCATCGACATTTTCTCTTGGTTCTTCACTGGTTAGTTGTTCTTCAAGGTTGTCTATTTTCATAACAAGCTGTAAAGAAAAAAATACTTTGATCAGGCAATTTATAGACCAGGACCGTGTCTTGCTAGCCATTGTACATGTGCTTAATAAGTGTGGCTTCACCTCTGTGAGAGGGGTTCTATTCTTGACACATACAGTTCTTTAATTATAATTTCTCTCTCCAGTGTGCTTTCTATTCTCTGGATTCTATCAAACACTTCAGGTTTTCTCCAGGTATTCCAGTTTCCTCCTGTAGTAAAACTGAATCAGTAAGGGTCTGCCCTTGCTGAACCTCTAGGGAGAACAGTTCAGAACTGATACAGCTATCCAGTATAAACAAGGTTTGTTTAATTTAGGTTTTCTCCTTTTAGAAAAACTCTACAAGTTATGACGCTATCCAGTATAAACAAAGCTAATTTAGTAATTAAGTTGTAAGACTAGAAACATAGAGATATTCCTAAACTCAAACCAAATTTTCGCACTTGAAAATTGTTCCACTGTCTTCTTACCTGATGCGCTTGTCGACAAAAGCCAGCGTACTGCTTGCCTATTTCAATTCTGTAGTCTACACGTTTTCCCAAGTCTGCTAACATATTTGGCAAGTCGTCCTCGTCTTCATTCGAGTTAACGTCCAAATTTCCTCCTGCAGTTTTAATGTTTTGACACTTTTCTTGCATTTTCTACATAAAGAAAACGATGATATATTTCCAAAACATTAGATGCTAGGATGGCAGAAAGGGCGTCGATGGCACAAAGGTCAATTAATGTGCCTTTCCCTTTGTGACCCGGTTTCAAGCCCTGCAATATGCAATAGTCTGATAATTGTTTCACCTCAGTTGCATGTGAAAAGAGTGATTCCAATTTGGCTCAGCCAAACGTTTGAGGATTTCTCCGGATGGTCTGGTTTTCTTCTGTAGTAAAAACCCATTTCCACTCAAGAAAAATTTCCACTGACAGAAAATTTTCCAAAAATATCATTGTTAAAAGTTGAAAATATTCAACAAAATTCTCTTTCCGCGGAAAATTTTCTTGAGTAGAAATGGGTCTTAAGAGTGAAACACAAAGGAATGGCCTGAGAAGACCTAGATTATCAACAAACCCCGGTCTCTGATCTTAGTGATTCATGCTGTGTTACAAATTCTTCAATTGCATCACCATCATCACCCATTCCAGAATTCTGTGCAAGGAAATTTTCACCAACGTTCTTCGCCCATAGATACAACTGGAAAACAAAACGAGACACAGAAAAATTTCAGAATTAAATTTCAGTTATCCCATGTAATGTGAAGGTAGGAACCATAAACATGACTGGTATGCCTGACTGACCTATGGCTGCAGAACTTAGGGAACCATCAGAGAGCGGCGCTACCCACATAGCTAAAGGGCTTAACTCCAAATTCAAAATGTGTGCTTCAAAACTTGGAAACTAGGTTGAACTAAGAATCCTGAAGTACAAGCCAACTCTAAAAGATATGTGAAGAGCCAGATGTCTAAACCGGAGTTTCTGACTGAAAGTTCGAAAAATCCTTGGCCACTTCCACATAAATAGAATCTCCACCCATGGACTGACTGGCTTCATTATACCTACTTAAACCTCGCTCTATCTATAAGTACCTCTTTGTATTCTCGATCGGTGTCTTCCGAAGATGACGTCACTTGTTCCACAATGTTGGCATAACTACTTTTCAACTGGTCATAAATCTGTGACGCAGCAGAAGGTTCCTTATTATCTTGTTCAGATAGGAGTTGTCCTTCTCTCATTTGATATGCAGAAACTTCGGAAATTTCGCCAATAATATCACCATCTTGTTTATCAGTCTTGTTCTTAATCTGGTCTTCGATTTTCTTCAGTTTTTCAAGAGTCTTCATATAAGAATAGCAAATATTATTACACGCAAGTGAGATGTAATATTTCAAATCCGACTATGAGGACTGGACTAGATTTCTAGTCATCACGTCCAAGGCGAGCCGAGAACTGGATCAAAATGTGAAGACTTGAAATCTAGTCCAGTCTTCATTGTCGGATTTGAAATGAAATCTCATACGAATAAATCACTAGTTAATTAATTTTAATCCAGTCCAAGGACTGAATTAATTTTGATCCAGTCTTTGGACAGGATCAACATACTTCATCAGGTATCCAGTATTATCATGTGCACAAAATAAAGCAATATGGTTGGCTAATTTACTTATGAATTATTAATGAGTTTGAGATAACCTTTTCACATCCATCGGGGAATGGCACTTCGTGCATTAGTGCATTACTAGCCTCAAACCCTACGTCCCAAAGTCAACTCATATGGTTCTTACTAGAGGGATGGTTCTTGTTAGACCTCTGGGAAAAACAGTTTGGAACTGATAGAGCAACCAGTATTAATAAAATTAGTTTAGTTATAACTACCTCTTTGCCTTGTTCACAAAACGACAAGTGCTTCTTTAGGTTTTCCTTTCTTTCATTCACTCTCTTCTTAAACTGTTTAAACTCCAGCTTCAGTGCCATGACCTTGTCGTGTAACGGCTCTCCCTCAGGATGGCCCACGTGAATCAATTTCTGAGAACTGCGCAGCAACTTATGAATAATTTCTTCTTTGCTCTGTCCAAAGAGATGAAAGCAATTTAAGATCGCGACAAAGAGAATGGAGGTTCAATGGGTGATTCCAGCTATGCATATGGACTAAATTGATCAAGGCAAGAAGAACGAAATCCAACACCACAGCTAGAAAGAGCGTCTTAGAATGAGTAAAACTGCAAAGTTTGGTTGCTAGATGTTGTAAAATGAAGAAAATATAGCCCTGTGAAGTTCGCAAATTTTGTATATATTTGTATTACGCGCGGTAAAAGCAACCACTTTCGGCTCAAAAATGGTTATTTTTCACGCGCGTAATGCAAATATATACAAAATTTGCGAACTTCACAGGGCTACATTTTCCTCATTTTACAACAATTCGCAACCAAACTTTGCGATTTTACTCATTTTAAGATGCTCTTTCCAGCTATGGTAATGGTTTTCGTTCTTCTTGTTTAGATCAAAATTTCGTCAAAAGCTGGAATTTCGATTCCTGCAATCTGCAGCTATCTCATTGTAATTCCATTTCAGTCAAATTGGCAAATGGTGCTTTCAGTTTGATTAAAGCAATCGTCACAGATTACTCCAGTAGTAACACTCGACCAATACCGGAAAAATTCTTTCAGTACTAAACCTACCTCGACTTGGTTTTCAAATTCAAAATGCTGCCTCAAGAGTGTTTCAAGTGACTCCACTGTATCTCCGTTGTTTGTCTGTCCAAGGTATTCTTCACCTTCATTTTTCAACCACGACGAAAGCTGCAAAGAAATTATGCGATTGGGGTAAATTTCGAGTCGAAATTTCCATCTTGAGTGTTCAAGTGGGTTTCACTAAGGTTTACCATACAGCTAGCTTGGTTTCTATACCTTTTCCGTCTCATCTTGTACTCGACATTTTCGAACACATTGTTCCAGAGCTTTCCGCCTCGACTTCCACAGTTCATCCAATTTTCTTCGTCTGTGACTTAACGTTTCTAAAGTCCTCTCAATGCTAAAGCAAGCGGCTTTCGTTGCATGTCTGTTGTTGATATCAGCATGAGAACTGGCTTCTCTTAGACGATCTAGTAATAACTGTCCTTTGGATAACGTCTGCATGGAGAGCTCGAGTAAACTGCGTCGCAGCTCCTGGTGTTCTTGCATGAGAGATTTCGACACGGTGACATCTCCGGCAAGTAAAGTTTGTCCAAGTTGTTCCTCGACCACACGGATTCTCTCAGAAAACTGCAAGAATGAGACGTTTTCATATAGTTTAGCTCACTACATGTACGGCATTGTACGACATTGTTTCAGCCCATCTATAATCTTGGACACACTTGGACCCATCTATAATAACCTTGGATACACTTGGATTCTCAAGGAAGCAAGAATGTTTCCATAGAAATTCTGAAAAGTGTTTTTTTTTCCCAAAGGCGGTTTTGGTGTGGAAACATGTTTCTTGGTTTGCCCATCAACAGGAAATATGGCTAGGAAACAATGTTCCCCGGCTACCGTCGAGAAACATGGCTAGGAAAAGGTTTTCCCTTGGTTGCCCAGCTTCAGGAATCATAGCTAAGAAACAATGTTTCCTGGTTCGCCCACCTTTCGGAAACGTGGCTAGGAAACAATATTTCCTGGTTCGCCCACCTTTGGGAAACACAACTAGGTATGTGTTCACAACAGTGATCACCTTAAGCCGCCAAGAAGTGCATGCTTCAAGGGTATTGTCTTTCTGGCTTTGGAGTTTGGATCAATAAGGGATAACCTTTACAGGACCTCTAACGAGAACAGTTTAGAACTATATAGCCAACCAGTATACATAAGGTTAGTTTAAGCAGAGTTTACTACGTCATAACCTTACCTCTTCGGCGCTGCGATGAAACGCAACTGAAGTATCAAGCAGAATACGTCGTGTTTCCAGTTGACTGTTTAAATCTTTCCACGACTCGTCCAAGGAGTCGGCCATGACAACATTGGAGAAAGCTTGTCCACTCCCGCTGTCTGACAACGAACGAAATAAAGATAATGCTTCTTGTACTTGTTCACTTCGTTTCTGTAAAACAACACAGAATATTCGTTTTAAGTCGCAGGTCGTTCCGACACAAACCACAACAGGTTATTGTAGGATACTACCAACACTAGACCACCATGTTTTAGGTATCTTTTTTCAGGTGGTTCACACACAAACCACGGCAGGCTATTGTCGAATACTACCTAGATCGTACCCTCATGTTTGAAATATCATGACCGCATATGTTGTTGTTCATATATCTTGAGCTGTCCGAACACTGCATAAGCTTGAATAAGGGTAAATTAGGGTCAACTGAGCTCACAAAATCCGTCCTAGGTAAAGTTGTTTTCCGCCTTTGTAACTGGGGTTCGATCGAGGTGCGTACTGGGAGCGTACAGAGCGGACTCTTTTGAACTGATAAAGCTATCCGGCATAAACTAAGTTGGTTTAGCCCTGGAGAACGGTGAAATCAAGAGAAAGACATCCCGGTCGAGTACACCCTATACAAATGATCCGGTTGATGCAGTTTTAAAGATCTCATGAATAACGTTAGGATATTCCTGTGCCCTCTCCCAGTATATTGTTGGAGTCAAACATGCAATGGTGAATGTCTCCTTCATGAAAGTCTCAGACGTCAAATAATATAGTCGTTGAAGGGACCAAAAAAATCGTATAAAGCCGATTTAGGTATCATTAGCTATAATCCGCTAAGAAATTTGTTTATTGGGCCAACACCCAAATTTTAGCTATAAACCCATATATACGATAAAACATAAATTTCTTAAACGTATATCAATAAATGGTACCATTGAATGTAGCATGAATCTTATCATGAAAATGATATAGTCTTTTATTCTGACTGAAAATTACTGAAATAGTTTTAACTACAACCTACAATTTTAGGCTGACTCAGCACATTTTTGCAATATTTTGCCCAACCTTATATTCTTCATATCTTGTTAAGTTTTACTTGAAAAATGGAAAACTATACCATTTTCCTGATCAGCTTTCATGCTTTTCCCACCGGTACTGTTCATTTTCACATATGAGAAACTTACACAATTATGCTTGTTACCTTATTAGGGTTTTATAGGCAAAATTTGGGCAGTTTGGCCAATAAAAATTCCTCATATGTTAATTCCACGAAACATTTCGTTGTTAATGGCAACAGTATCAGTTTTCTAGCAATTTTTGTCCGGGTCAAAACCTTCAACGACCATAATAAAATAATAAAACAGCGAATGTAAAACATGTTGAACTTTTACTTTTACTAAAATATCCTTGGCACGAGATTACTTTATTAGGTAATCCACACGTATCTATTCCGTTACAGAGAACTAAATTAAAACTTAAGCGCTTCGTTATCCGGTTACAAAAGTATTAACATAATATTAGAATTTAAAGCTTTGTCAATGACATGCAAAATAAACATGTCAAAAGTCATTGCCAAACTACGTCTTCAAAATCTTCGAGAGTTTACTCGGATTTTCTAAATGTTTGGTTAGCTCTTAATAGGGAAAACACAAGTCACACGAACAATATAACAGATTCTTTGGGTATTTCAACAAATATATCGGCAAGATTAGTCGCCAAAAAAAAAGAAACTCATCGCCCTGACATTAGAAATTAATTTGTTTTGGGCAAGTTTATAATTAAACAAAATTGGCTTCATAACAAGCATACCAATTAAACACGATTTAAATTAATTTACAGGATAAGAGCTCAGAACTGAACCAAGTTATTTCAAAGCAAAGTTCTTGTTTTTGTACGAGGAAAGTGGTTCTGTTCGAGGCAATGTGCAGATATAATCCTGAGCGCTATACCTCAATGACGTGTGCAAATGGAAAATAAACAGCGATTTCAGACAGCATTGATTGAATAGTCCCCACTGTGACAACATATGACAAACATGTTGGCAATAAAATCTGCTGCTAGGTAAGGATATTAACCAGAACCTAACTAAACCAACATTGCTTGTTAAGAAGAGCGGAAACCAAGAAAAAGTGATACGAACATTTGTAATGGGTACAAAAGAAACAACCAACGGTGCTCAACCGCACAGATTATAGACGAAATCACAATAATCGGGCGACGCTTCGACAGAAAGACGACCTATTGACCCCTAACATTTTGAAGAATATACCCCGACTGTTATGCACTACAATAAAACACGCTGGCCTAATTCCAACTCATCGCGACAGTACTAACCCTCCTTCACTTAGCCCAAGCATAAACTAAACCGTTTATTACTCGAGGACTCAATGGGCAACATGCGTTTAACAGTATTATTTTTTATAAAACCGATAAAATAACATCCCAAATTTGTTTAGCGCGTCTCCTGCAGGGTGAACAACAATGAACATAAAAGGTAAAAATACAAACGAAATTTCGTCGTTCAATAAACATTGAAAATCGATAATTGCGTTTTTATTCCAAAAGTGTTTGCGCTATCTTTTATCGACATTAGATTTGCTTATACACAGGGTAAACTGGCATTGTGAATAAATGAACGAGCAGAATGCTCTATGCGGCTGGTGTTTGTAACAATTTAAAACGCGTAAACTATCCCGCAGACGTGAAGTAAGGCAGGGCTAATCTGTCTGACCTTCCAAGCAAGTTATATAGTGAATGTTTGTTTCGTTTAGCGAGAACAAACACTCAAACAATCATTATGCAGTATGCATTAAATGAGTCCTAATGACAGAAATCTAGTCATAACGACCTCATATAGAAGGATTTGCAAAGCTTAAAATACAAATATATTTATACAGAACATAAATTAAACATATAAATTAGGAAAATAAAATGCAATGGTCTCACAAGTTCAATGCCAAATTTTTTTTTACAAGAATTGACATATTTATCTAAACGTATATCCAATATTTTTTAAGGTAAAACAGGCTGAAATGCGAGAAGAAAAGATGGATAATGCGGACAGTACGAAACAGTAAGCAAGTAAATCAAACTAGCCCTCTCATTGGCGAAACTTGAAGCTATCATTCACATTTATTCTGGATGATGCGAAGCTAAAGAAGTCTGACTACCGACCGACAATTTTACGAAGACGAAACGCCAGACTGTTTAACGAGAAAGATTTCACATACGTCATGCCACATGGAGTCGTTATGATTTCAAAATATTAATGAACACAACTGTCGCCCATAAATATTTTTGCTTGGATTATAGTTGATTAATGAATTCCATCTCCGCTCGAACCGGACCAGTTTAGCATTCGAATGTAAATCTCTACGCTTGAAATTGCTCAACAAGTTTCATTGGACATTTGCCGACTGTAGTATAACCGTAGACCATAGTATAAACGATTCTCACACTGTCCAACAAAGCTAGCTATACAATTTCAATTATACTCCTATATTCTGAGTTAGTAATATAAGAACGAGTCCGGGAAATGATTACTATCGCTCGAGTGGGTTACAAGACTTACAGGATGAGTATAGATACAGCACACTTAAAGACAGTTTATACCTTTATAGGCCAAGTGACGCGGAAAATCTGCCAGTCTGTACGTACTTACCAAAGACGTCCGCTAAGGTCCAAACATCCGTTGGCAATTCTCCTCAAAAGTTTTACGCGGTTGATCGTGTTATCAATACGTCGCCGCAACAAGCAACAGATATCGAGCGAAATCCAATGCCTAGGCGTTTGTAGTCAATACAAACCCTTCCAAAGTGCTTAGCATACCATCGCTGACATCAACTGACCCGGAACGACGCCCTCGTATATAATTATGGCTATTAACAGCAAGTGTGAAAGTGGATTGACAACGGAGTAGTAGAGGATACAGGTTACGCGTGGACCGCAAGTGAAGCTGGATCACGAGCAGGGTATACTGTTATTGAAGGAACGTGGCTACATATATGATAGCATTATGTCACAGTTTGGGGCTAAATGAAACACGACAGCCCTACAGTGGCTAACACATCAACATTCCAAACTCCACGTTACGTCAACACCTCAACATCATCGCTTAAAGATAGCTCGTAGTAATTATAAAACTCAGTTATTTGTGGATTAGAAATTTTCAACACGGGACATTCGACGCAGATCACATTTTAACAGTACAAAAGGAAAGATCGTTAACTGTGAAGATCGCTTTATAAAATCGTATACTTTTTTAGAATAAATCAATTCCAAGAAAGTGATTCACCACAAAATCAATATTAGTGACAGAGCCTAAGCAAGGTCTTGAGTCATTGCTTAAGGTGGCAAGCCAGAATTCGTTAAAAGAAAGGCAATCCCACTCAATAGATGTGCTAATTTATGTCAGTGTGTAATAGATGGGTAAAGTTTCTGTGATCACAGTGTGAATTTTGCATAGGTAAATTCTTAGTTTTGAAGGATTTGTAAGAAATGTTTGAGGGAATCGACTCCGTGTTTAATACTAAAGTCAGTTTCCTCAAACACTTCTTACAAATCCTTCGCAACTAGATTTTACCTACTGTATGCAAAATTCCTACTGTGAAAGTGTAAACCCGGCTTGCAGAGTATGACTTCTGAGAATCTGAGTAGGACATCAGTTCAACGGCGATTACTCGCCGAAATATTTAGTGCAGAACATGATAAGCGCGACGTTTCAAAAGATAGACCTAACAATTTTGTTACACAGTATCATGTAAAGGCCCCACCCCTCCCCTCCTTAGTCCGCAACCGTACATCTTACTTACCATCACAGCTCTTTCTACCATAGAACATTGGTACGAGAGCGTCTGAGCCTCGTCCAGGTTTTCACCGATATTAAACAAACTTAATCCAACTTCACAATTAATGTCTTTGATCCACTGCACAATCTAGACAGATAAAAAATCAGCCTTAAAAAAATTTATGTCAAATGTGGGATTTCACGGCAGCTGAGTGTTCAACAATAAGTGTTCGGGATTGATGCAGCAATTTGATAGCTTTTTCTATTTTTACACTGTCACTGATTATTTTCTATTTTTACAATTCTCAATGATAACTCAATCAGTTCTAACGGTTAGCTGTTCTCCATTGAATTCCAGTAAGGGCCATTACCTTATATCGGTGTAGTATTACTGCAGAAGGAAACCTAAACAAAACTAGTACTAACTTTATTTTCACTTTATAATTCGATCAGCTCTGTTAATAACGTTGACGGCAAGGGCTATCCTTTATATTGGTCAGTTTAAAATGTTACTACAGAAGGAAATCCTTATTAAAGTAACTTTATTTTCACTGGATAAATTGATCAGCTCAAAATTGTTCTCCTACAAGTTCAGTAAACGTCATATAATGGTCCAGTGTTACAACTGGGTCCAGTTGCTTGAAAGCTGATTAGCTTAAGCAGGGACGTCGCTACAGGGAGGTGGGTGGTGGTGGTGGGGGGGGGGGAGTAACACCCCCAATAATTTAAACGTTGGTCAAAGTTGGTCAAAATGGAACTGATATTTGCCCAAAGTTGGTCAAAATGAAACTGATATATGCAGTAAAATTGAAGGCAAAACTCGGAAAAATTTGGTAAAAGTTTGGGATAAAAGATGTTCGAAGTAGGTCAAAGTTATGAAATAGTTTGCAATTTCAACAATTTTAAAGCTTTTATGTTTGCGGTGAAAACATTGCAAGCCTTGCTTATCTTGGTCGAAAAATTTTGAATACGCTTATGTTAGTCCGGAAAATTTTTTTTGAGTATGTTTATGTTAGTCCAGAAAATTTTTTTTACTACGTATGCTTATATTAGTCCCGAAAATTATTTTTACCTCCTACCCCCTCCTTCCCCCCTGGCATTTTCGGGAACATTTGTATGACTTGGTCGATTCCTTGAAATGTTGGTCGAAACCCCCCCCAATGTTGATGGCTTCGCGACGTCCCTGAGCTTAAGCCAAGGTTAATCTAAAATTCCAAGCAAATGTCCCAACAGCTTGTTTATAAATTTGGAAATATTTCTTCAGAAATTTGTCTGCATCAATTTTCTTCTGTGAAGTTTTGAAAACACCAGGGGCCCGGTTGTTCAAAGCTGGGTTAGTTTAACCCTAGGTTAACCTAAAATTCCAAGCAAACTTCCTGACAGCTTGTCTATAAATTTGGGGATATTTCTTCAGAGATCTTGTCTGGATTGATAGGAGTTTACTTCTCTGAAGTTTTGAAATAAACAGACGTGCAGAAATACACAAACTAAAACAGCATGTTAAATTTTAACCCAGAGTTAGTGCTAATCCACCTTTCGGAACAACGGGCCCCAGATGTGCAGAAATACATAAACTAAATCAGCAGGTTATATTTTACTGTCGATTGATAAAATATTGCACCAATAGACCTTTCCCCTTTTAAGTGAAATTTTGATCTAGACAAGTCTGGACAAAAATTTCATCACAGCTTGAAAGAGCATCACAAAATTAGTAATATTGCGAAGTTTCGTTGCGAAATGTTGTAAAATACGTATAATATAGCCTTGCGAAGTTTACTGTTTTTCAAGTCATTTGGTATTACAAACGGGAAATTGATAATCAGTTTGATCATCTGATTATCAATTTCCCATTTGTAATACAAAATGACTGAAAATCGGCAAACTTCGCAAAGCTATATTATCCGCATTTTACAACATTTTGCAACGAAACTTCGGAATATTACTAATTTTGTGATGCTCTTTCAGCTGTGATGAAATTTTTGTCCAGACTTGTCTAGATCAAAATTTCATTTAAAAGGGGAAAGGTCTATTCCTTTCCTCAAGTTGATCAATTCATTTGATAGAAAATTGATCAACTTCCTGTTACTTTTAGATGAGCCAATTAGATTTCGTTTCAGAACCGATTGACCAATAGGAGACGCACTGGAAGTAAAAAGAAATTTGAATTCGTATGAATTGATCAACTTGAGGAAATGAATTCATGCAATATTTTATCAACACTTCCATTGCATCGACAGTAACCGAGGCCGGTTAGTGCTAATCCAGCTTTGAACAGCCGGCCCCAGAAGGAAACCTAAACTAACCTAACTTTATTTGTACTGCATTGACTCGATCAGCTCAAAATTGTTTTCTCGGCTGGTCGAGTAAGGGCCACCCCTTTTTTGTCCAATGTTACTGTTATTCGTGAGTAATTTTCTGCCGAGGACGAAAATTATAATCAGACAACTGTACATCGCAGGAATTGAACCTAAGTTGCAAAGGTGCATTGAACCTAAGTCTAACTTTCGGTTGTTCGTACATGGAGAAAGTGCCAAATACTGTCATGTTTATAATGTCACGTTAGACACTTGGTGAGTAGTATGTCAACGTATTTCGACATATTATTCTGTAAATATAATTTAATTTAACTTAAACATTTATTGCCTAATTAGAAAATTGGGGCTTTCTCGAGGTATGAACAACTGAATTGTAGTACTGGTTAATACTTTACATTATACCCATGATTTCGTTTGTTCATACTCCTAGGAAGTACTGAACATAGTCATGTTTTATTGTTGTTGTGTCTATAGAGTTTAGGAGGACCAGATTGGAAAAAACTTGGGTTGTAACTTTTATCTGTTTATCCTCAATAAATAAAGTGTTATTAAAGGTGCCAGGCGCATCAACTAAATTTTCGATTTACCTCGGATGTGCTATGTTCAGCTTGAGCTCCACCGTCAGCCAACTTTTGTAACTTGTTCAACCGTTCATTCCACATTTCCTCCCATTCCACTTTCCTTTCCTTCACTTCAGCCAGACATTCAGCCACAGGTGCACAAGTGGAAGAATCATCTGAGCCCACAGTGGTGTCATCATTCCCAGTCAGCGGCAATACGAGCCACTTCAAGAAATTTTCACCAAACGTCACGGTGTCTTGGCAATCTTTGATCACGCGTTCCCTGATGTCCGAGTGTATGATCAGTTCTGTTTTGATTTGTTCTTTTGAGAGATGGGAAAGAGTGCCTTCCTGGACATACGACATCGCCAACTCGTCGACTTCACCCAAGAACTGAAAACAGGATTTAAGTTTTAATCATTAATTTCCAAAACAGCAGTAACAATAGACAATTCCCATTACAGGCTAATTTTAAAACTAGGCAAGGAGATGCAAATAAATCACCACAGCTAGAAAGAGCGTACTGAAATGAGTAAAATTGCAAAGTTTAGTTGCGAAATGTTGTAAAATACGGAAAATATAGCCTTGCAAAGTTTGAAAATTTTGTATCGGCCCAAATGTGGTAGCAATTTCCGCACGCAATACAAAAGTATACAAAATTGGCGAACTTTGCAAGGTTATAGTATATTTTCCGCGTTTTACAACATTTCGCAACCAAACTTTGCAATTTTACTCATTTTAGTATGCTCTTTCCGGTAATATACTTTTTTGCCAAGATAAAAAATTAGTCTATAATGGCAATTGTCTGTTGAGTTGCTTTGGAATTGCATAGTATGGGAATAAAGTATCAAGTGTATGCTATATATAGTTTACAAGTAAAAATATTATGTAATTGGATATTAAAATATTACCTTTTCAGAGTTCTTATAAAACTCCACAGCTGCCTCAAGTCTCTTGCCACGTTCGATGATCATATCTGCAACTCGTTCCCAGACCTTCGCCAACATCTCTTCTCGCTCATGAACTGGAGTTAGCACAAAACGACAAGAACGTCGAAGAACCAAGGCCGCTTGGACAACTTGTTCTCCGTAGTCATATGTTCCCTTGAGAAAAAAGGCATCTTTCTTAGACATGAAAGTTGACCGTATTTCACTGTTAACTGTTCGTGTCTACAATAGCGCCGTGCACTAGGAGAGTGACTAAGGCCCCAGTTATAAAACTACTGATATAGAGCCCAAAATGATTAAAGAAACTCCAATTTATTAATACTATGACTTAATCTAGGTTATACAAAAACCGGCCAGTTTTAGAAGGCTTCAAAAAATCGCAATCCGGTGCATAGCGCTATCCAGCCTTCGTACAACCGGCTCAAGGAATACAAACCGCGGGGGTAGATCGAAGTGAAAGCTACATGCACTAAGCATTGTGTCACCAGCACCTCGAAAAACGTCGTTAGAAAAAACATATCGTTCTCAAACCTTTGCTGTGCTTTGAAATTTCTCATGGTCAGTTTTCATTCTGCCCGCTTCTTCGTAAGTTCTGCCTACGTTGGTGTTTGACGCAATCATGACGCCACATAACTCCTTTAACCAAGTAATCGCCTGGAATATAAATAGACACTTTATTAGACACCTTCAGCTGAGTTGCAAAACTTCCCTATGATTACCAAAGCAGTATAAAAAAAAAATTAAAATTGAACTTAAAATGAAGGCCTGAGTTTTAAGCTATACTGGCTATAAAACACGACAGTCGAAGGACGATTATTACAATTTTCAAACCGAACCAGAAGAAGATGCAAAAAATGCAACTACATACCGATTCCAGTGCAGCGCTCTAACCGAGCTACAGAGCAGTGTAGATTATAACGGTCGGCAATCGGCTATTTGCCAAACAAAAACACCGAATGGCCGATCAATTTCATTCTGCACGGACATTTTGACCGATCAAATAAAATAGACAATGTTTATTTCAATTGAAGGTAGCTTATATAAAAAGTACTGTTTGAAAAGCATACTATACCTATTGTACCATGCAATCAATAAATATTTGGATGAAAATTGAAAAAAGCATTCAGAGGAAACATTGTCATTGAGCTATTCTCTTTTAGCAAGTACTCTCTCAAGTGACCGAATCTCGATAGTAAGTCTATAGCGTTTCCAATACTTACTACTTACAAAAAGAGGTTTTATTTTTTCGTAAAAATGGTTGAAATAGTTGACCGACCATTCTTTGCCAATGTCCGAGCAACAGTCTTGCCGGATCGGACATTTGTCAGACCTAAGCAAAAACGTTATAATCCACACTGCTACAGAGTCCAGTTGATAAGCATTAACCACAAGTTCTTTTCTACTATAAACTTCCTCTCAAAATCTCCAAGAGCGGGATGCCCAAAGTACTGATAAAATAAGACGAACAAGCTTTCGTTGGTAGGGATACAACTACCTGAAAATATATAAGAATTTCGACGTTTCGAGCGAAGGCCCTTCAAGTAACTCCAGACGAAGGGGCTTCGCTCGAAACGTCGAAATTCTCCTTCTATATTTTCATGTAGTTGCAACCAACGAAAGCTTGTTCATTTTAATGGCACTGTACCTACACTGGTAAAGACAGTTCATGATAAAATAAGACCCCTACCTGATCCGTGTCTCTCTCGCATGATCTCAGTTGTAATATCTGCTGGAGTTTCAACTTTCTCACGTCACAAAGTTCATCATTTCTTTTCTTTCTCCCGACCAGATCGTCAATGGTATTTCTGATATGACCAGCAATAGAACCACACTCGTAGTCCACCTCTTTCCCATATACATCGGTCAGTGGCGTCTTGAGTGCTTCCAAGATTGCGTAGCCATCGTGAAGCGTTGCCTCCGTCGCTTCTGCTATGCCTGTTTGGAAAACAAAATGGGAATATTAAAAGCTCAGGTGAACCATCTTTCTTCTCGTTCTGACTAAACTAAACTAAACTAACTTTTTTATACTGGATAGCTCTATTAGTCAAAACTGTTATCCCTAGAGGTCCAGTAATGGTCATCCCTTATTGATTCAGTGTTACCATAGAAAAAAACTTAAATTACACCAACTATTTTTACACTGGAAAGCTCTACCAGTTCTCGGCATTTCTTCCTAAAGGCTCAGTAAAGCCGTTCGTTCGTTCGTGGTACAGTGTTACTACAGGACGAAACACAACCTAAACAAGCTTTATTTCTAAAAATTTAAACTTTCGGAGGATCTTAAACTTCCTCGTCATCACTCCCTTGCTGCGTAGCTCTCTCTAGTGATTATGCAATACACCCCTTCGATAATTACGTCACACATACTTTTTGGTCCTGGAGCCTCGCTCTCATCAGTAAATTACGCAACGTGATTGCCTCATGATTCATGAGAGCGACGCTCCCAGGCCAAATGACGCAATTATCTAAAGGGTGTATTGGTGAAAAGTCGCACCCTGAACCATGACAAAAGATGACCACACCCACTCCCCCACTCCCTACCAGATCAGGCTGGAACCATCCCTGCACCTAGCCTCTTCCACAGGCAACTCTGCAACTCGGATGGCCCGCGTAACCCGCCCGCACACTATACAGGAGGAACCCGTACCGATGTTACAGAGATACCTGCGGAGGAGGCCGACCCTGCACCCAACTGAAAACGAAATTATAACGATCACAGGAATTGAACCTAGGTAACAGACGCGGGACACGTGCACAAACCAATGTGCAACTTGTGGACTTGTTGAGTGACTGATGGGTGCGCTTGTGTGTCTTCACAAACCTTTTGTGTGAATATTAATATTTTCAAGCATATTCAACGTCGCCTCTTCCTCCAGCTTATCATCAACATCAGTACATAACACACTCAGTAAATCATCCAAATGTCGAGACGCCTGGGAAAGAAAAGCATAATGTATAAGCTTCTCAGTCTGTCTGAACTACCTGAAAAATATATCTCAAACGTGGGGGTCCAGTGTAGGTATTGTGTCTGAACTGCCTTAAAATATATCGCAAACGTGATGTCCACTGTAGGTAGTATTATACAATAAGCTGCCATGGTTTTTGTCTAAACTACCTGAAAAAGATTTCTCAAAAATGGTGGTCCAGTGTCGGCAGTATTCTACAATAAGCTACCATGGTTTGTGTCTGAATTGCATAAAAATGATATCTCAAATGTGATAGTCCAGTGTAGGTGGTATTCTACAATAAGCTGTTGTGGTTTGTGTCTAAACTGCCTGAAAAAGATATCTCATTTGTGTCTGAACTGCCTGAAAAAGATATCTCAAATGTGGTCGTCCAGTGTAGGTATATAGTATTCTACAATAAGCTATCATGGTTTGTGTCTGAAAGCGCCTGAAAAATACCAAATTAATAAATACTCCTTAGAAACTTACAACTTGCGTCCAGTGGTGAAAATTGATCGAGGACATTAACAGAAACTGCCGTCTTTCCATTCTGAAAGCAAAGTTTCGGCAATATTTGTCCATGGTTGTTTTTTGTTCCTGGATGTCAGCAGATTTGGGATGTTGGGACTGCAGAAGGTCTTTAGCTTTCGCACGAGCTGTCGCAAATGAACTGATGATGTCCTTCGTTTGTGCTTCAAATTCTTCATGTTTTTTAATCAGAGCCTCTGCACTTGTCAGAGAATTGCCAAGTTTAGTATTTTTCAGAAGATACGCTTCTCCTGGACCGCATAACCACTCTGTGACCTAAGAGAAAATGTCCCTTTAATTGTACAGCGTGCTTAATTTTGGGAGTTGGTTGTATGGTTCCAGAAATTAGGTAGCCATACTCAAAATTTTCAAACTTAATTGAATTAAGGAGCTACAGGTCAATTACAGAACTACAAAAATCATGTGAAGCATACTGTAGGTACCAGAAAGAGTAGAAAAAGGGTTTATTATATATTATATATTCACAATTCCCCGTTATGTGGTTTGAAACAGTTGTTGTTGAAGGTTAAATTGAGGTTTCTGCGTGTCAAATCTTCCTGAGAACGCAAGAAATGACATTTCAGAGAGTCTATATTTCTACACGCACCTGGACCCCTAGAGTTTCTTTAATCCCGCCCCCAACCAACCAAATAATTTTTCCACCGCCTATGATGTGAAGGCAGTGGAGTTATTTTTCTAAACCTACAGTTGCAGGTTAATGACTCCCAAAATCGTTTGCAGTTAGGTACTGTATCTACACCTCAACCTCGTTCCCAGGGTCTCTCCGTCTGTCATCTGGGAGAGACCCTGGCTGCGGCTGGTCACGTGCCTCCCAGATTCTGGGAGGTAAATTTAATTGTAACTGTGAGAGGGGTGGGAAAGGAGCGTGTTTGTAGCGTTTTAAAATTGCAACTTTGGGTGATGAAATTTACGTACTGTAAATTTGCGACAAGATATCGTAAAGAGAACTCTTGAATTAATATTTATATCGTGACGTTCTACTCTATAATCTGGTGTCGAGTTACAATTCAAGCAAGTTGGATCAGATTTCATTACAGACTTGCCAAAGAAAGCACGCTTGCCGCTTGTGTAGCGTGGCAATATTAAACTGTGATTAAACCTACAAGAAAATATATATCTCTAGACCGAACAGTGTGGTTGTTATTTATTTAGTATTAAAGTTTATCCTGATACTCGGACCAAAAGAATTTATTTATTGATGAGATGTGGAATTGCAACGAAATAGCGAGATCTTTTGATTTCCGAAATATCGCCAACTGTATCCAGATTGTTGATCTATATAAAGGCCTTATCAAAAAACTTAAAGCCCGTCAAAAGACTATAAAATTGGCCCTTGGCATTGCTGAATCCAACGATCATGGTATATGTCAAAGTATAGCTGTCTGTTGAAAATCTACGGTATTAAAATCATACACCAAAGATAAGTCAAACGGCAAATTATATGTCACTATATTATACATGTCTTTCAATGAGCACTGTTTAGTAGTGTTCACCACCTTTATAAATTTTGTAAACAGCTTTCGTTTTGACATGAATAAGCTTTAATTTTTTGCTTTATATGCATTCTTAATATATACAAGTGAGATTTAAATTTTTGCTTTGTGAAATAGAATACCGTTATTTTTTAATGGACAGCTTGCATCGTCTATATCATATCCAGGATTGCTTGTGTGTAAACGTATTATTCACTATATGACATTGACACTATCAAATAAATATAAGTAGCAAATGATTAATGAATTAGAGATAAACAGGTGATTCACAATGAAAACTTTAAAAATGTTAGTAGAAGTAGAAAACTCGAAAATTTATGTCTATTCGTATGACGCCAAATGACGGTCTGTGCGCATCTGACACTGTAAATTTGTGATATAGATTATAGTATATTAGCACAATATAATGATTAATAGAGACCAAGAAAAAGGCTGAAGTCTTACTATAATTACCGAATACGAATTTATGTAGTAAATCCAGATAAATCAATGACTGAAATTTCCTCTATGCTTATGGACATTTCTCTGTTCGGCTATTATCAAATGTTTACATTTGCTAATATTTGGGCCAGTCCTAGACAAACTGTTTCTTTTAAAAATCTTATAAACATGACGCGTAGTAACAAGTGAATCGGTGCAAAGCGTATCAACGTTTACAAGAAAAAAGACAAATGTAATGGCCTATTTTAAAAACATTACAACAAACGTTTGTTATAACCGCTCTCGCGTGTGAAGAGAGCATGCATTGAATAACAACACGAGAGGGCACTGCGAGTAACGATTTGCTTGGTTTCTTGACTTGACAGTCTTGACTGTAAGTAAGAATGTAACAATGTTCTTGTAAATTCAAAGCAAAGAAAATAAACAAAAATTAGCAAGTATTTTGAACGTAATAATTCGCAAAATCTATGTTTTTAACGAATATCCCACTGGAAGCATGTTGATGTAATTTGATACTTTCCCCACACCCCCTCAGGCGCTAAATTTTTGATGAAGCACGTGACCAGCCGCAGCCAGGGTCTTTCCCAAAGAAAGATCCTGGGTACGAGGTTGTCTACACCTGTAGTTACTGAGTATCTAAACATGGAGTAACTCCAAAAATCACGTGGAGCCAGATATCTACGTCTGAAGGTAAATTACAGGATAGACTAAATTCCACTTGAAGATTGGCTATCTCCACAGCAATAAAACCAACAGGCATGATTGCTTGTACCACTAGTGGTTAGTGTAAAAATACAGTTAAATCTTTCACCTCTCCGAATAGCCCGCAGGTTCAATTCCTGCCTGGGACCTAAAGTTGCATTTTTCTCTTCTGTTCCTGGTTAGGTCTAATAAATGTATATAAATTTCCACTCGACAATTTCCATCTACAATATCCATCAAATAAACAGTTTTCTGATTATAATTACATTCTCTCCTCCGCAGAGGTTATTTATTCTATTTATAATGTTCTTCGGTTCTCTTCGGATAGTTCTCGGAGTTAATCGCGATAGGGCGTTAGTTTTGTCCAGCGCCGTATCGCGATTAACTCCGAGAACAATCCGAAGAGAACCGAAGAACATTATAAATAGAATAAATAACCTCTGCGGAGGTGAGAGATAATTACACATCAGGTGCATATGAGAAGATCATATGAGATGTGTTTCCAGTATGACATCTAGATATTTTCGAAGTAATTTGGTTTCGTTTGTAGCAACACTGGATAAGGATAACCCTCACTAGACTTCTAAGGAGAACAGTTTAAAACTGATTGAGCTATCCAGTATAAATATTGTGATAGTGTTGTATAGTATATGAAAATGATCTGTTCGTTATTCTCACCAGTTTCGAATCGTGTTTGAAGCTCGCGATACTTTCATCCATGAGTCGTGATTCATTGTTTTTTTCCCACTGGTCTACAACGTGACGATACTCATCCTGCAACCTGGCCAGCCTTTCATCCAACAGACAGACATCTTGTAACTCTTCAGAACTATCATTCCGTATCTCTTCAAGCAGTTGACTGCCTTTTTGTAAGATTTCTGCGACGTTGTTCATTTTCGACTCAAATTCAGATTGTTGTTCCTCAAGTTGGTCAGGGTCGATAGGTGTCTCTTCCTCAGCCTCCATCTGCTGTATTAGCCCATTCAGAGTTTCTTCAATGTTTGGAATAGATTCGAGCAATTTATCGATCTCCTGAGGAGATTGGAAAAATTCATACAATTAAAAATTAGGATTTGGCCGGTGGTGAAACGACTGGTCAAGAAATGGGTGATTCCAGCTATAGGCTAAATTCAAGGGTGGGTTGTAGCGAAGTAGTTGTAGTTCGTTACTGTAGCGAACTACAATTTTCAAGCAGCCAGTAGTTTTTGACTACTTTTTTAAAACAGTAGTTGTAGTTATAGCGAACTACATGTTGCCTAAAAGTAGCCAAGTAGTTGACTACTTTTCAAACAACGAATCGCTATTCGCTACTTTTTAAGATTGTTAGCAACCTGATAGAATAGCGCCATGATATTGAAACACAGTTTGCTTAAAATCAATACTCAATAGTCAATTTGCACTCCTGAACACTGTAGTGCTTACAAAAATGTTGCTTTGTGTTTACTGTTGGCTGTTTGTCGATTTGTTATAGATTACATTACAGCCTGAGTTAGTAGATGCTCCAAATATAGTAAAACTAAAAAATATAGTGTAGCGAAATAGCGAAATAGTTCGCTACATTTTTTAAGCAGTAGCTGTAGTCAGTAGCGAACTACCTTTGTTCAAAAGTAGCAGTAGTTGTAGCTGACTACTTATTTTTGAAGTAGCTGTAGTTATAGCGAACTACAAAAATTTTGTAGTCAACCCACCCTTGGGCCTAAATTTTGATCTAGGCAAGAAAAACGAAATCCAACACCACATGCAGCTAGAAAGAGCATCTTTGAATGAGTAAAACTGCAAAGTTTGGTTGCGAAATGTTGTAAAACGAAGAAAATAATTATAGCCCTATGAAGTTCGCAAATTTTGTATATATTTGTATTACACGCGGTGAAAATAACTACTTTCAGCTCAAAAATGGTTATTTTTCCCGCGCGTAATGCAAATATATACAAAATTTGCGAACTTCACAGGGCTATATTTTCCTCATTTTACAACATTTTGCAACCAAACTTTGCAATTTTACTCATTTTAAGATGCTCTTTCCAGCTATGGAAATGGATTTCGTTCTTCTTGTGTAGATCGAAATTTTGTCTATAGCTGAAACCATCCATTGGAAGTGGTGGAAATAAGACATCTAAGAGTGATAGTCGAGACTACACAACAAGAAAGGAGAAGGATGAAGCTATACAAAAAGATGGGTTTGTCAACTGGGGATTCAAGATCGAGGAACAAGGGTTGATTAGGGCAAGTTGGAAGAGAAGAACTGCATCATATCACTGGATGGGCAATGGAAAGGAAGATGGAAAACGACCAAGTGGTAGACCGTATGGACACATTGGATAGATTGGAAAGTGATAACATCAAGTTTTAATAGAGTTGCAACAATGAACATTTCCTGTGAGGTCAGATACCAGAATGATGGTGGTTGTAATGGTAATGGTGATGCATGGTGGTGATAATGGTAGTGGTTGAGAGTAGTGGTGGTGATGGTAGTGGTTGATAGTAGTGGTGATGATAATGGTGATAGTAGTGGTGATGATGATGGTAGCTAGTGGTGATGATAATAGTGATAGTAGTGGTGATTATAATGGTAGTGGTGATAATGGTAGTGATGATGATAATGGTAGTGGTGATGATAATGGTAGTGGTGATGGTGATAGTAGTGGTGGTGGTGATCGATGGTGATTTTTAGGAAGATTGTAAAATGATAACTTAGAATGGTTGCCCCTGGACCATGACAGTTTTAAACAATAAACTTACAATCCTTCTATCAATCCATGACTGAGGATTAAAGTTATATGTTCCTCCAAAGTTTTCAGGGAGTTGACTCTTGTCCACATATTGTTCAAGTTTTGCCAGGGATGACAGCAGTATAGTCTGTACGTAAAGATGTAGAATAAAAACAGGCACAGTTTACAAATGAATATAAACATGTTCAGTGTATGCAGTTTTCTAGATTTTAACCTGCTGTGGTTCGTGTCTGAACTAACCTGAAAAAGATATATCTTATGTGGAGGTCCAGTGTAGGTAACATTCTTCAATAAGCTGACACATATAGCAGCAGCTTTACTTTGTAAAATACTACCCACATTGGACTGCTGTACTTGAAATTTTTTGACAATCTAGACACAAACCACAAGCAGCTTACTCTTATTCTGGACCCCCCACACTTGAGATATCATTTCAGTAAAAGACAACCTACAGCGAACCTAATTATTTAACCACAGAAAAGTTCTATTTCTAAGATCTATAATAATTTCACATAATACACTAACATCAAATGGATAGGCTGTGAGATCATGCTTGCTGAATCGACCGCTCTTTCTTCTTTCCCAGAATGCATCAGGCCTCAGAATTAACACGGCAGCAACATGATATGACAATGTTTCCTATAAAAGGCAACAAGATCGGAGAATGTATATAGTACTGATGAGTGAGTGAGTGGGTAATGTAGATTTTGGTTGACTTTTGTAAGATGGTTGACTTTGTATGATTTGTTACTATTAGGGATACAATATACTAAAGCATGAAGGTAATGGTGGTGACAATTATTATGATCATGGTATAGTGATGATACCAAGTGATAGCGGTAGCAACAATGGTGATGATGTTGCAATGGTGATGATGTTGCATTGGTGCTAAATTGTGGTAGTTGCTTGGGAGTGGGAATGGTGGTGAAGATGGGAATGGTGGTGAAGATGGTAGGTGGTAAAGATGGGTGCCGGTGGTGATGGTGGTTGTGATCAGGTGATGATTATGGAGATATTGCTGATGACGGCAATGAAAATGATGATCGGATGGTGAAGATAATGCTGGCAATGATGGTTGGTTAATTGTGATGTTGGTCACTTAATGGTCATTATTATACGATAATGGTGATACAGTCATGATAATCATGGTGATGATGATGATGTTGGCAACAACAGTGGTGATATTATATGGTGATGATTCAGGCATTTTTAAAACAACAATAAACTATCCTACTTTAATGACTTGTAAAATAGACTTGAAATTAGTCCACTTTTCACTTCTTGCATCAACAATAATGGTGAAGCCTTTCTTTTGAACATCTTCACTATAATTGTAAAAAAAATCCTACAAGTGAAAACTTGGAACAAATACGGTCGACCTTCTCTACCCCCATACACAAGATTGTCAGTTATTACTCAGGGAATATTATGGAACATATAATATGGGTCAAGTTTGCTACAAGGTGGGTCGAACAAGCCAATTGATGTGTTCTTGCATCTTACGTACTGCTTGTTTGTTTACAAGTTTTAGTATCCCACAATAGGATGAAGTCGATTTTCTTTTCAAGAAGGCTCAAGATAATTATAGACACAGCAATGACTAACCATTAATTTTGCATTGTTTATATCACACAAAAAATATCCAACTAATTTTAAATCATTAGCCTCATTAGCCATAATTAAACTACAATTAAAAAGAACTATTGTTTATAAATTCAATACCTTTATCATAATATACCAGAAGCTTTATTCTGCCAAATTGCTCATTTTCCCATGAAACAAAGAGGCTTAAAAAACCCCGTAAGAACTATAGAATAGGTTTAGGTTATATATATACCACAGATTACTTGCCAGAAAGCCCTTTACTTCTGCACAGAAGAAACCATTACATATTCATGTCCACGTATATATTATTTATAAACTCATATACATAAAAGCAGTTGCTACTGTACCTAAAAAGCTGTGTAATAAAACTCAAAGCGGCCGAAAGCTCGCTCGATTCTCCTTTATAATGTGGAACCAATATAACTTGACGTCCACTTTTGTCAAGTGTTCCTAAAATTAAAATAAGGGAAGTATATTGATATCAACATATGTCAATAAACCAAACACGTACCCTTCTCATTCATCGCTTTACAGTAAAAGTGTCGAGAGAATTTAATAGAATTACAGAATCTTACCTAATAAACAGGCATGACTTGCTCGAAGCAGATTTCTGATCTCTTGTTCACCTCTCTTCGTGGCTGCAAGTTTAAAATATTTTGCCGCTATCGGTTTCATTGTTGCATGTAAACAAACCATGCCCAAAGCTATAATATGATCTTTATGTGTTCATAAACACTAGTACAATAAAACTGAAGTGGTTTAAAGCTTTTTAAACAAGTACCTGTCCCGTATTCTTGAGTTTCGAGGGCGAATTCTTGTTCAGCCATTTATCAAAACATAGATTTAAACCAGATAACACTATTTCACGAAGTGGCAATTTGCCTGGTCGATGGCCGTGAGTTTATTAATGAATTTCCCATAACTTTAAACCAGCTTTATACATTACAAGTCTCAAACGTTGATAAATTTCCACGAAAACTTACGAACATTGTTTTTCTAGCTGTTAAACACGAAACAGACATTAAAGTTCGGGTATTTGCCACAAATTAATTGTGACGCTTGCTTACTATGGAAACCCCCACGAAGAAGTCATTGTAAAGAATGAGCATTTAAAAGATAATAATTTACATACCATAACTCACCCATAACACGAAACAGATTAAATACAGAAAACCCCACGAGTTTATACCTAATATCTACTCTGTTTAAACACCAACATCCAAATGTTTTTACCTGTTTTAAACTTAGCAAAAATGAATTTAAAACGTATGCAAAATAGGTAAAAAAAATGCTAGTAAAGGGCAAAGTGATGCAACAGATTGTTTTCGCTTTGGTTTAATTTTAATGCCAACTGCCGGACGTTTGCAAAACACGTGTAATTAATGATTGTTGCTGAAGGTTTTTCGGGCTTAACGGTGTATACCAAAGGATTTGTCGTCGAACAGAAGACATAAATATAATTTGAATATATTATTAATGTGGATTAATTTGCTTAATCCTTACCAAAAATGATGGAATTGAACTAATGAACTCAACTAAGTAAACAAACTTTCAAGCATATTTAATACTTGTAAGCATATTTTCTGTATTTTCATGGGTTGAAATTTTGTTGCTAATTGTTGTTGTTGTTGTTGTTGTTGCTATTCGCTTTCGATGGTTGTTTCTGGTTGTTGTTAGTTATTGCTTAATTGCTGCGATGGTCTTGTTGGTTGTTGCTGGTTGTTACTGGTTGCTTTTGGTTGTCAATGGTTGCCGACTTGCTGATGGTTCTCGCTGGCTGTCCACATTTGTCCGTGTTGTTTTCTGACACCATGATTGTGATCTTTACTCCTTATAAACCAATTCTAAGTAACCCAAACCATAGATTAATTTTTCTAGCTTCTACCGCCTGCTACGCAGGCTAAGATTAATGCAACAATGTAGACACTGAAAAAACACATCCTCATTTAAGGCTGAGTGCATACATTCATAATAAATATTTTGTTCACAACCTACAGTATTACATCTGAGAGATTACATGTATATAATGTATATATATAACTTATACATCTGACAACTCTAAAAAGATTATTATGACTGTGTTGTGCATGAGTACCATACGTAAAATAGAATTTAAAACTGCTGCAGGTTGGTATAATTATCGTCATTGTAAACACTACAAAAGTATGTATAAATGACAAATCAATGTAGCATTTTCGCAGCAAATTTTTGCCGCCAATTTACACAATAGGGACTTTAGCATGTAGAGCGGCAACTCGTCGACGACGACCAAATCAAATTACTTCAAATAATTGACTTGTGCTTTCAGTGAAGTTTTAGGATCAGACAGGAGCCTTATAGTTCAGCCAATTTCTTTTGAGCCAATTTGCCGAGTACGACTTCTCGCTGTTTCATGAAAATGCAGTCCGTTTTACAAAAGGCGTGAAAATTGAATTGAATTGAAAAGCCTTTCTTTTGACAGTGAAATTCGTATCAGTTTTCGAGTAAAACTGTTATCAACAGAAGAAAATTTTACTGCAAGTTTGCTGTCGTAAACAGAGCGAAGACGATCATTGTATTATCTATAAGTCCTATAATAGCCGTGCTCTAGCTAAAGATCCCTCAGACCATAATTTACAACATTACCCCAAAACACGAATAGTAATTGTGAACCCTATTTCTAATTCAATTACTGGACAGGAAATGGTCAAACTCAGGATTTTGGGCTCGATACAAAAGGGTTTTGCACATGGAAATCTCGGAGTGTGATTTTTGTATCTGCGCGTAGCGCAGATATATTGCTATCGCGTCAGTCAGTAAAGTAAAGTAAAGTAAAGTAAAGTAAAGTAAAGTAAAGTTAAGTAAGTTAAGTTAAGTTGTTAAGTCCGTCAACCTTGTTTTGAAGGCCTGTTCGCAGGCTAGAACAGCTTTAAAACAAGATGGCGTCTTTCGAAAAGCTTTCAAGAGTAGTAATCATTAGTAATCGTGGTATTAATAGACTTTATCCTGACTTTATTTTGATAAAATCTTCTTCTATAGCAGTCTTTTTGATATAACTCTTACAGTCAAACTGGATGTTCTGTTCCCATGAGTATTGCAACATTGCAATCAATCTTGCAATGTTGATTGCAAATTGCTCCGAGCAAATTACACGCAAGTATTCAACTGTCATTTTTTCAAGCTCCTATCACTCCCGTGTTGGGGAAAGGGAATAACAAATCAAAAGGACTAATATTGTGCCTACCACTTGACAAATTAAAGGTAAACTGGAATGTATAGAGGATATTTATACATGGTTGTGCGGAAATATGTAATTTATTTCGAGTGTTGAAGAGAACTATTGCTAACGAGTGAGCGTAGCAAATTGCAAGTTGTTCCATTATGTGATTTAATAATCTAAATTTTTGAGTAAGGTCATGGACATATTGTAATTATTATGAGTATTTACTATTTTATCTTCGTATCAAACCAAATATATAGCATTGCGAGCTGTAATTGGTATTAAACTCTGCCAGTTTGAGAACATATGTTTACATATTTAACTACCGCAAAATAAATCCCTCTTTGGCACTGAATTTTGCATGTTATTTAGTATTTTTGTATCACGTTAAGATCAAAATGGACATATTTCTTGAATAATACTTTTAATCTGTGAAATGATATATATAAAAATATTAGTCCTCATACTTCGTTTTGGATTTGTTACTCAGTTTTGTGATAGATAGGGGTACCAAAGCCTTGATATTTCCAGAGGTATTAAAATACAAAATTAGCCTGTGACAGTATGCTCCTGATTTTACTTCATACTCGATTTGGAGCAACACAAGTTCTACAACAAGAACGTACACGATGTACTGTGCAATTATAAAACGTCATATTTATAGATATTTGATTGACATGTTTACGCCATGCATTTCATACCGCACGGGTTTTCCCTGAGTTTTTATAAACAGGACCTGCATTTCCGGCAATTGTTTTATGGTTGAATCTTCACGAAACAATTACAAATTTTAAATAGACACGCAAATTATATTTGCGTATATATCTTGACTGTTATTTAATGGAGGCCTCTGAAACTAGGCTAAACTATGAAAACAAAGCATAGGATAAACGTAGCCCTGTTGTTTTAAATGTCAGAAACTATTATTAGCTCATGACTCCATGTACAGACGTCTAATCCCACGTCTTTAATAAATCCACACATTTTACAGCCTTAATTAATTATTTTCTTTAAATTGTTCTTAAAAGTAATGAACTGTATGAATAGCAGATATTTAGCTCCAGATAAAAAGAAACATTTTTGTATGATTGTTATCAGTTGCCGTGATTCGGGATATAAATGGTTCTCGTCCTCTTAATTTAGAAGTCACTAGTTAAATGTAAATATTATATCTGAAGCAGGCATATAATTTCAACTAGAACAATTTCGCACAATTGCTGTAAAAATGTCATTTCGAGAATGCACCATCAATGAATGCGAAACATTTCTACTTACTGCGAAAGCGGACAAAGTGGGACAATTCAATACAATCGCTCATGTGCAACCACCGTATTTCGCAGACACAAGCTCTCGCGACGAATTTCGCCGTCGTGGAATCAGACCTTAAGATTCAGACACACCGGACGCGCTTCGACAACGCGACGCGATTTTTCAGTATAATTAGTTTGAAAAACAGCCAATGAGAGCAAATCAGTTACAAACATATGTAGACCAAGTAACTTAGAATGTTATAGCGCTTCTAAATATTTGGAAAATATAAACTTGGATTAAATTTAACGGTCAGTGAAAATCGAAAAATCGCGTCGCGTTGTCGAATCGCGTCCAGCGTGTCTGGACCTTTAATGCGCAGATACATGTACGCGGTCGCGTACCTATTTTTAATTGTGAGCATCCCAATAAACCAATTCTACTTGACCGCAAAATAAATTGAGGGAGGGATGGTATAAAGGCGATGTTTATAGACAATTCACATCTCATTTCACATGTGAAATTTTATGTGGAATTTGAACATCTCATGCATGTACGAAATTTAGAATTTTCGTTATATAAAATTTCAGTTTCACATATTCTTTCTTATGAGATATCTATGAATCCTTCACATGTAAAATTACTAAAGGTACATAATTATGTACAAATTAGTTTCACTTGTGAAATTATTATTCCATATGCATGCACGATATGTGAGATTGGCCCACATCTGATACGAAAACTGAAAAGGCGTTTTCAAATCGGATATGTGAAATCCTCGCAAGGTCGAAAACCTTTGAACTGCTTTGTTTCTAACCATTTTTGGGGTACTTTTTTTTTAAAACGACGTGAAAAACCTAATTAGGGGATCTGAAAACATTTTTTTCAAATATTTAACCGTAAATTAACTTATATAATTGTTCAAATGATTATACTCG